TACAGAACACGGTAGTCTAAGCTGCTAGTGGGAAAAGAAGGGTGTTTTTCTCTTGGACCAGTTCAAGTTTACATTCTAACGTGAAGGTCAGTCGGTGGTCTCCGTAAGACTTTGGCTCGCTAACCTGGAGGTCACGTGCTCGGTTCCAGTATTGGCCGAGAAAGTTCAACGGAATTTCCCGGCGTGGTTCCTCCTGGTCAGTGGTGTAGGAAGGTGGGGGTGTCTAGTGGTGACTCGTCAATCAAATGAACCTTATGGAATTGTCCCTTTAGAGATCTTCTATTTCGTATCATCTGTAAAAAGATCTCTTATAATAGGGACTAAATTCCCTAACTTCATTATTTTAAATATAACAGTAATCCATATATTTCAAAAATACTTTCGCGTAAGTAAGATACCAAGCGCCTTACATTTACAAATTTCAAATAAGGTTACTAACTGTCTACAGGCATCGTTTAAAATTTTGATCCGATTTTGATGAAACTTGACATATATCTTTATAACCCAAAGATCTTGGTTCCTGTCGATATTCGCGCATATCGGATCGTCACTTTCTGCATTATGGCCCTGGATTGCATGAAAAATCATTTTGTTTTAGCTTGTTCTCTATCCACCCCTTGCAACATGTGGACGTATCCTGCCTGGCAGCCGCTGGTGACTCTTCTTAAACAATCAAATTGTTATAATGTGTTTTATCGATATCTATATGTTGTTCGGCTTACTGTACATTTTTTTTTTGGGGGGGGGGGGGTCTAGTGGTTACCAGGCAATTATAAGAGCCCTATGGGATTATCTGTGTAGAGATCATCTATTTTGAAAATTGAGAGCTTGAAACGGGCATCTGTGGACTATTCTGGTGCAGTTTACATAGGAATTTATTTTGTCGAGAGCAGCTTTTTTCGCATGAAAACTCAGCACTAGGAAGACAACACACCACTTTCGTTACGATAATACAGAACTGTAATTCAATTTCTACCATTCTTACATCCAAACTCAAATCCCATGATATGAATCCTATCATTAACAAGGGTACAAAATACAAATCTGAATATTGTCTTATAAAGTTTCTTTAGGGAGTGAATGTGGAGCCAGGTCGAGATTTTATGGAACATAGGGTGACATAGGCGAAGTATTTCTATTTGGCCCCCGGAAAAACTCCTTTGAACCATGCCTGCTCAAGAGCCTTGGGTGCCGGTTTGTCTCTCCGTTCTACTTTCTTCATCGAGTCATGGGCTGCTGGCCGAACATCAAATTCAAACAACGAGGGCATATTGATGCGAATGTTCAGGTATGCCTGGACGGGAGTTTTTTTCAGGAAAAACCCCAATGTCGCTTGCCTACATTGCTTTTTAGGCGGCGGCGGATCGAGCTCCGGTTCCCCATCCATATTTCAATACTTAAAATCTTAGGTAACACCGAAAATACGTGAAAATAAGTCATAAACAAACTTTTTCAAAGTGAAAGTGAAATGACGGTCAAGGTCGCAGCGGAGTGGACTGAATACCGAGCCTACTGAAAAACCTGACTAGTAGGCTGATGCGGCTGGCGCTCACTCGTCTCATCAGAGGTAGTCGCGAGTGAGCGCCAGGTGATCTGATCTGATCTGTGCAACTGACCACACCACATGAACACAAGAAGAAACACCCAATTAGGGGCCAGGAGGCATCGCTGACTACACATTTTTAGAGCACTACACCATTTTTCAGAGCACGGTTTTCTTATTTTCGAAGCACGGATTTTTCATTTCGAGGCACGTTAGTGCTCCAAGGCACGTTATTTTAGGCCCCGACACCGATGCAGTTAAATCTCTAAAAACATTAATAAAAATGTGTGGGTGGGACATTTATAGCCTCTCTTAATGCAATGGCGGAGTGAAAAATGTCTAGAAAGACTTGAATATGGCTTACAGCTGTTCCGGTAACGGATGCGTACCATTATAATTTATCATAAATTATAGTCATACTATTTTCGTGCGTTACAATAATATTTAGACAAACATTTTCCTGGTAATGACTACTAAGATTTTAAGTGTAGGATAAAGCACGAAACTGCGGTTATGTTGGGACAAGAAACGACTGAAGAAAATAACCCGAGAAATAGAAAAAACCGAGGTCGCCAGGCAGAGGTTTTTCTGTCGAGTTTTTTGAAGTCTTTCATCCCCAGCATAACCGAAGTCGAGGACTTTATCTTGCTTATAAACCGTCTATGTTTACAGGTACGGAAGATGAGAATATTCCAGAATTCCTGTAAGAAAAAACTTATATCATGTTTTCTTATGAGGAAAAAAACCTTTCAGAAGAATAACCCCAAAGTTCCCTGTATATATCCAAAGCCGCCCCCGACTTTCAGACCGCAAGTTATTCCGGGCATAGAATATACCCCAAAGATCAGGTTTATAATAGAGTATAGTGGTGCTCTTAAGGGGGCATTACTTCGGTGCGCCGTGAGTAATTCGTGATTTTTGGCAGTGGAGGTTATTCCATAAGTTAAACATTCATGTTTTTTGGCTAATGTTGATATTCCATATTTTAAGGGTGCAGTTAAGTTTTTCACATAGCTAAGTGTATGTAAAATAGAACATTTGAATACCGATTTAAGGTAAGACACTTGGTTAAGTGGAAAAATTAAGTATTTTTACTTAACTTTAAGAAAACCTTTGAATACGGACCCTGATACTAGGCTAGCTGGTCGACATTTTTAAGTCCTATATACCATGCATACGATTTTAGTCGAAAACACTAAGTATACTTCGATAATTTTGTAAAGTTTTTATTCTGCTTCCATTTAATAAAATTAAAAATTTCAAGTCCTAAATCGACGAATTTAGTCGAAAACACAAAGTATACTTCGAGAATTTTGTAGAGTTTTTATTCTGCTTCCATTTAATGTCCTAAATCGACTATTTTAGTCGAAAACACTGAGTATAGTTCGAGAATTTTGTATAGTATTTTATTCTGCTTCCATTTAATAAAATTGAAAAAGTCTAATTAGTCTTTGTGTGTATGACAGATCTGTGTGTGTGCAGAATGTGGATTGTTTTGACGAGCATTTTAAGCTGAAATCCTAATATTTTGGCGGGGTTGGATGGCCGAAGAATTAAACTGTTCAAAAATGTGTTTAAACACACTTTATATATTGTTAAGTAAATATTGTGAGAACAATCGGCTAAATTTTACTCCAACTTTCATTAAAACATCTCTATATATATAAGGTGTGAATTAGACGGCACAATAACTGTTAACTTGTGAATGTGTAACCAACTGATATCTACTAAACATGTTCTTGTTTAAAATAGCCTATTAGAAAAGGGAGATAATCAGAATTAAATAATAATCGTGTACTTTTCGGAATACCTATTTATCTCGAAACTTTCAAGCCTTTCGCCCTTCGAGAATAGGTCCCCCCCCCCCCCCGAACACTTATAGTCGATTTGAAAATTTTAAATAGTTCCTTTATTACTTTGTTAGAAACCTTACTACACGTCTGAATTCCAAATAATTTTTTTTTAAATTATGTACAGAAAACTTAAAGACTGCTTTTAACTTATCTTAATTATTGTACCATTCATATCCTAGAATATGTATATAAATGCAATGTATTATATTTCATGAATAAACATTTAAAGAAAACAAAAAAAAACCACGTGCGGCTTGTATCTTAAGACGTAAGAGTTGTATCATAAGGTATGTCATTAATCAGCTAGCGGGGTTTCGATTTTCCGGATGTACATGACAAGACGTAGTGTCGCAAGTCCAACCTCGTGGGTATTCTCCGAGGCCTTCGGTTTCCTCCCACCGCTAAAGACCTATACGAGAAGGGAAACGATTGACATATAATTTAACCATGTGTTAGTTCCGAAATGACCTAGTTTGTGTCACCCCTCTCTCTCTCTCTCTCTCATATTGTGAAAAAATAGAATAACAATGTGATTATTATATTAATTTCATTCTAGTTTTCAACTATTTACCATGCTGTTTAAGTTTCCAGCACATTCACATTGTCATTTTAGGTTTTTTTTATATGCACATAAGGATGATTCGCACTGTGACAGTCTTCACGGACTAAGCGGACGACCTCACTGTTGTGGGCGTATGATTGGTTGCCACGGTGTTATTCTAATATTTAATACACACGCAGATTCTATCATAGTGATGCTATTCCGCGACAAACTGTTTATAATAATAATAATAATAAATGTCCATTTCTTGAGCGCCAAAACATTTTAAATTTAATAGACCTTTTCGACACATATATACTATATATTAACTTATGTAACAAAGTACTCTATAACTTTCATCAAATTAAACGATCATTTAGGTGCTTGGAACTTTATGACCTCAGCTAGTGTTTGATAATATATGATATTGACGTTTCAACTCTGTATAAACTTCTGTAAAGGCACGAACTGGCTATGATCGAATTAATCCCATATGTCATTTACAAACTACATATGATATGTGTACAAGCTCCACATGATTTTGAAGGAATATGAACAGGTGAGTAAGCATACCATGACGTGATAAAGAGACAATTGCATGTATGATCATGGGTCTTATCTATTCTCCGGCGCTATATAATCAGGAGTTTACTGACAGAGAGACAGAGCGGGGAGAAGAGAGGCTTGGACGAGTGCATGGACTCACCCGGGTTAAGTCGCTGCCTTGGCAGAGGGGCGGAATGCTGGATTTAATATAGTTATTACCGTCTTGATATGTTCTTGCCGTAGATTAGTTTCTGTTTAATATATGTTCGTGTTGTAATTCTGTAGCTGTTTGATGTTCTGTTCTGATTTAAATAAACCATATATTTACGAAACTGATCTCTGTTATCACTAAAATAGTGTAACACTTAAAGTCCCCCTCTCCGAGGATAGTGTTAAGGCTTATGAGGGAAGGGGTCAGAATTCAGAATATGCGCACCTTTTCAGTTGGGCCCCACCCCCTGCTTCTCCATTTCAAAATATTCCGGATCCGCGCTTTAGACTCACAGAGTAAACAAACTATAGATGACACTTAATTTATTATTTAGTTCATATATATGTTTCACAATTTGTTGATAGAGTCATACACACAAACCAGGTTTAGCCTAAGTAGTCAGATCGAGAAAATCTTGAGTTAACTAGGGCTCTGAACTACGATATTTGAAATTATTTCACTTTGTTTTGAGCCAAAGTTCGGTCAGATCAAGAATATTTTCAGTTAATTGTTAGATGTCATTAACTGTTAGTGTTATTGATAATTTAACTGGGGCATTTAACTATGATATTTGAAATTATTTCCCTTTGTTTTGAGTACTGGAATTACAAAAGCGACATTTATGTAACAGTAATAAATGGACTTTACAGTGAACGGGAGATCACTCTGTTTAAATTTCACAGGGTGGCGCTTCATGTGGCTGGAGTAATTTTGGCTACTGTCCGTCGTCGTGTCACCGTAAATCTACATTTTGATGGTGGTGTATGGCCACGTATTATACACATGTAATAATAGCTACAGTAGCAATCTGATTACATTGACAGGCATTTCTAAAACCAAGTAACGTGTCGGGGCTTGTGAGTTGGGCGGAATAATGAGCAATCATTTTCTAGTTCCCTGACCGCCATTTCTTCTCCTCTGTCTATTACTTCTGCTTGTACCCTGTCGTCCTCGGTTGTTTGGGTTGGTTCTACGCCCGGTCCTCTGGCTACCTGACTGCCGGACACACTCGTTATTGTATAGCTCTAGATGTCGCCCACCTTGACATGCATGTCTTTGGGAATTTCCAAGGCTTATGCATCTACCATCGTGGAACACTGTCTGAAAAGGGAAAAGAATGGAAGAATGGGTGATTCGTTGGTATAGCAAAGGGAAAGGCGTGGTCCAGAAGCAACGACCGAGAGTCTTACAACATCTACACGTTGGTAGTCTGGTCTGCAATTCCCGGACTTAATGGCTACGTTATCTCCCTTTACCACAAACACGTGAGGTTGTGAGACAAACACACTCAACTCAAACATGGCGACCACCACGGAAACCTTTACATTGAATGAACCTTGACCTTTGCAACTCGATTATCACAGGCAGACATTTTAGCTGGAAAGCGCGAGACTTGGTATTCGCCATGGTCGGGCTCTCAATCCAGGCCAGTAACCAATCAAATTTAGTGCCGAAATATGCGGGGTATTACGTGAAGGGCTTGATAAGATGTACGGAGTTAAAGCGAGATCAAGCCTTCGTTCATTCATAAGGAAATAGATACGTGCGTGCAACAACCGTAAATATAATTAACTATCGAAGGTTGTTATAGCATCCGTTGGGAGCGGGGTGGATGGCCGAATGGTTAGCGCTTTCGATTCCCCAGTAGTAAGGTCGCCTGTCCAACCTCGTGGGTTTTCACCGGGCGGGTCCTCCCACTGCTAAAGACTCCTACGCGCAAGCGAATTATTGAAATATTATTGAAACATATGTTAGTTCCGAAATGACCTCTCTCTGTCTCTGTCTCTCTCTGTATTAAAGTGTGAGGTCCTTGGACAAGAAACCTTGAACTCCCAATTTAAAGATGCATTATATAGATTTAGATAAAAGGGCTCCTTTTAATTTAAACTTATTGCAGGTTTAATTTTTGGCGCCAATTGTTATATAAACATTTTATTTTAACATTTATTCACATGACAAGCCTATAATCAACTCTTTAGACTATCGGATGGCCGCCGAGATTTAAATGACTTAGAACACTCGCGATAGTAAATAATCTAGGCTTAGATTCGATTTTCAAGTACCGTTTCTACGATAATAAAGAATATAATATCCCTCAGAATAAAGTATTTTAAAACTATAAAAGGAAGAACGACCAGCTCGTTATATAAATATTACATAAAATAAAACCAAGTACGAACAATCCAAACCATTAGACAAAATTCGAAGTCCTAAAAATACAGTATAGGCAAAATAGTGTAATAAGGCAAAATAATGCATCTTTAAAAGACATGCCTGGTGCTATTTCATTCGTGCCAGACAACTAAAACCCTTATTGGGAGACCTGGACCGGATAGTGAAAACCTTCACGTACCTCTTCAACTCCAACTTGACATTCGACTTCGCTCGGGAGAAGAGGGGGTGGGGTAAATGCTGCGAGATTTTCGTTACTGAACATGTTCTGTAAGGCTTGTCTGGATCTCTGAAACAATTTGAACAATATATTACGTTAAATATATACCCATACTGGGCGTTGTAAAAACAAGGGTACCTTAACCAAAGATATACAATAACCAGAACGACTATCGTCAACTTTTCGAATAATTCTAGCGCTAAGTTTAATTTAAGAATGCGTTATTGACGTCACCGATAGTAGGCTACTAGATCCCAGCTGAAAAATGACGATGTATTCTGTTAATAATCTGATTAAAACACAGATCCTATTTCGTTTCGTTTTTTATAGTTCAAAATTTCTCATTTTATTTGTCTGTACTACACTAGGATCCGGAAGTTGTTATATAACCTTTGTTCTTGGTGGCGTGAAGGATTAGCCAATGAAACCATCTGTTACGGCGACTTCTTGACGTTCGATGCACGAAACTGTTGGTAAACCACTTTATTCAATGTCTGGCATCATAGGGTCAAAATCCGCTCGTACGACCCCAGGTGCCACCTTCCACTACAACTGGTCAGATCTTCATGTAGTGTAGGCCATCGAAAGTATAAAAAAAACGAAACGAAACGAAATACAGATCTGTATTTTAATCAGATTGGTTAATGGCATTCTTTGTGGAAATTAAAATTTGATTTGAGTGGCTATTGAAACTGACGGTAGAAATAGATGGGCCATCTCCTTTAAATTAATCATGTTTAAGATTTCATAAATAATTAAATAATAAAAATCAAAAAACACATTTAATCAATAAAATTCACTAAATTATGTTTTAAGGAAATTAACTACACCGGAATCGTGAGTGGGTGCACTATCTATATTACATTGCATAACAAATGCTCATTAAATCAGCTCTGCCATTGTAGCGAGATGTTAGAAATTGCGTTCAATTGCTCAATACGTATTTATTTTACAGTTTGAATGGCATTATATAATTATGTCATTTAACGCACACGTTCCATATAACAGTACACAATCTGAACGACAGACTCACCTGCAGAGAAGTGACTCTGACACAGTGAATAGCCATGATATTCATATGACGTTATCTAAACGTCACAGGTCATGAGGTCACATCAACAAACAAATGTAAACACCATCATTATGATCATTATCAACATTACAAGACACAATGTTACATTGTAAACAATAGCCTTCTTGCAGCCTTTAGGACTGTATAATCCGTACAGAACGTCTTATCGCTTCTACCAATGATTTTTCACAAAAATAACATCATCTACAACTCTAGATTTGACGTCGGCATATTGGCACTATTTTGTGCTTCGGTCGTGTCTATTTCAGATATACACAATCAATCCTGTTAATGTTTTTAGCGTGGGGGTTGACTAAAAGTTAATTTATTTCAGTTCTAAACAAAAATTTAAAACTTTAACGCAATTTTAGAAAAATAGCCAAATTCTGGCTGGGATTACTGAGCAAAATGGCCATTCACTGTATACGTGCGAACAAAAAGCCAGCTACCATTTAATTTTCGTACGTTAGTTACGTACGAACAGTACATTGTCATCCGTTTGTAGTTTGGGGCGGTGCGGTGGTACAATTTGTGTTTTAAAGCTGACAGGGATGATTGTTTGCCCAGGAACTCAATAAAAAATCATTGCTAGACATTGCCCCTGTTATGCCGACAAAATATTGTCAATACTCGACCTGAAATTATTGGAATAATTATAGAAGAAACTCTCTTTTTTAATTCGCGATATTAAATCAATCGTTCTGGGATCGTAAAATCATCCACAAGGGACATTTTTTATTTCTTTCATTTGCAGGAAGGAGTCGCCTAGTTTCAATGCAGAACCAGCAGATCAGAGTTGTGGATGGTCCATAAACATGTAATATTCAAAGGCACATGTCGTTATCACCACAGGCGCCTGTACAAAATTGTCCACGTGATATAAAGAGGGTCACGTGGACAATTTGTAAACGTCATCGTAGACTCGACCATCTACCTACGAAAGTTAGTGAGTATTGTCACTACTTGACGGAATATAGAGTAGTGAATTTTGATCCCAATTATTTAATTCCAACCCGTTTCTCAACCTTTTGGCATTATTATATCTACTGAAAGAGAATCGGCTTCAGGCGAGTTATTTGCCCCTGAGTTAGAAATTGGAATCAAATCAGTTATTTGATAATCTGATTAATCTCGCTTACGAACATGCACGTAACAAACAAACTTTAGACATTATACTATTTCAAAGTTTGATGTTATTTTTGAAATATTTTCCACGTTACAGGCGCGTGTGGTTATCACTCGCTATCCGTTGTAATGCCATGGGGGTTTAAGATCCTTTTGTCCCCTCCCGACTGGGCATATGAAGACGGGCGTACGCCATACTGTGTACCATGACTGACATTTTGCCCGGACAGCCATGCTACGTCTTACTCTTATTTCGAATTCCAACTGGCAAGGTTGCTTTACTTAGCTGATCTATTTTTCGTCCCATCCGAACACCTATACTTTTTCCCATTACCAGGCCCTACACCACTGAAAAGGGGACCCCCCACCCCCCGGGACAATCCCGATGAACTTTCTCGGCCTACGCCCTCCCGATTTGTGAGTCCACGCCTTAATCACTGAGCCACCGCGGATTCTTGTTTTCAAGAATGAAATGGGGTTTAACGTCCAACTGTTCTGCTCCGACTTGGCCAAGGAAGACGTACATATATCATACAGTGCGCTATGAGGAACATTTTGCCCGGATAACTGCGCTAGGGCCTAATCTTATATCGAATTAAAACTGCCAATGGGTCTTTTACGTGCACTTCAATGTGTACACGGGAGCTCGGTTTTTCGTCCCATCCGAACGACTAGACAGCTTCCTTGTCAGCCCCCCCCCCCCCCGCCATCCTGCACCACTAACAAGGGGAAACCACGCCAGAAAATCACGAACTTTCATTACAACATGTAATGAATGCAAAGAATGGGTTTAAAAACTAAATCATATAAAATTCCCAATTATCCCAGTCGCCCTTAACCTTTAAATCAATATCTTTTTAAAATAACAAAATCTTAAACAAACACTTTGGTGAAAGGATGTTTTTATGAACGAAAAAGTGGTATGGGCGCATTATATATAATCATTGCATTAGAAAATCAGCTTTGTGGAGAAACTGCACTCAAACATTATGGAATGTACTGGAGGACTTTTTAAGTAGGATTGTAAGCTTGAATATCTTGATAAAATTCAATATTTAATGCTATTAGATTTTTAGAGACCCGTCAACTTTAAAGAAAATTACCAAATGAATAAGTATTATGATTTTAAATCTACGTTATATGTATTATATTCGGTGTACATATTCCCAGCGTGATTGTACATACTACTACAAAATGAACCGTATTTTACGATGTTCAAATATGAAATGTAATGAACACTTACCGCATTTTGGTTATTTAATCTTAGATTTTTAGAGACCCGTCAACTTTAAAGAAAATTACCAAATGAATAAGTATTATGATTTTAAATCTACGTTTTATATTCGGTGTACATATTCCCAGCGTGAAAGTACATACTACTACAAAATGAACCGTATTTTACGATGTTCGAATATGAAATGTAATGAACACTTACCGCATTTTGGTTATTTAATCTTTGTCTTCTGGGCCTGGCGTCTCGTTTCACCCTCAGTTCTTTGGTATAACACATTGTGGAAATACACATAATTACTACTAAAAGCAAATGTCCAAATTCCATCTTGAGAAACATTGTTTCGCTTGTAACTTAAAACACAGCAAAGGATATGTCTTGTTATTCATTCATCCACATGCATGATGCACAATTTTCTATTCTGTTTAAACTAAACTGGCTAATCGATGTTTCAAACTACAATTAATACAGCGCACACGACCAAGTGGGCTATTTTAAATTTGGTCGACGCATTTCTCGAAAGATGTTTGTTTAGACTCGATACCAGCTATATGCATTGTGGTGCTGTTATGGAATAATTTGGGAAGATTTTCTGAATAAACGATTACAGAGATATGTAAGATGAAAAGATGAAGTTATGTGTTGAAATAGGTTTTCGGGTAAATCCAATCTTATCTTTAAGCGAATATCAGAATGTTTATTTACAGCGGGTGATGTGTAAACACACGTGATGAAGTTATGTAACTTTGTTGCACCAATTTTAAAATAATTTCGACCTGGAAATAAATCTGTTACATAACATGTACTGGAGATTAAAAATCAAAATAACCTAGACGGTTCGGTACAACATAGAGAAGGGTTGCCTGTCCAATCTCGTGGAATTTCTCCGGGTCCTCCGGTTTCCTCCCACTGCTAAAGACGCCTACACGCAAGCGATTTATTGAAATAAAATTAAACCATATGTTAGTCCCGAAATGACCTAGCTTGTGTCGAGTGGACGTTAAACCCCATTTCCCATTTCAGAATACTAGAATCTTATTTATACTGAAATATTTTAACAATGTGGCCTTTTCATAAGCTAAGAAAAGGCCGGATCAAGTTACTTTTGAAACGTCAGTTAAAGATAGATTGAACTGTTATAGAAATTATTAATTAAACCTTTACTTACATGACAAGCTCTGTAGACTCTCGGGTTTTATGGATTTAATAATACATGGCTGACCAAGCTAACATTTACCGTTAATCACTGACGTCTCAACTGGAGACTGTCGATGAAAGGACTAACAATCGAGGGTACCGTAGCCATTGAGAATGTTAATTGATAATCGAGAATTATGTAATAGGGAATTATGTAGGTGGAGTTATCGTCTGTCAATTTTTTTTTTGGGGGGGGGGGGGGGAATTGATATAGCAAAAATAAATGAATTACCAGTACAGCTTTACATTTCTTCTTATTTTTGAGTGGCGGGAAGTAAAAACAATTTTTATTCTGGAACATAATGACCTAAAACTTTCACCAAGAAACCCGAAATATTGAAAGAAACGTCCACTCGACACAAACAAAGGTTCAATTTTATTTCAATAATTCGCTTGCGCGTAGAGGTCTTTCGCAGTGGGAGGAAACCGGAGGATAGGCGACCCTTCTTGTCACGTACAAGTTGAGGGGAATCGAAACCACACCAGTTGACTCAATGACAGACCTCATAATACAGCGCGCACATGCTGACCATTCGGCCACCCAACGTGATATTTTCATAGTCGAATTGGCACAACGCCATTTACAAGAAAAAGGCAAACCCTTTATCTCCTCTAACCAAACCCACTATTTAGATTCCGGGTCAAATAGTGGAGATTGCATATCCCAGGGGCCGCGCCAAACCCAATTACTTAGACAAGATCTTATTTTTTATCGATCAATATTTCGGTTAATGGTCAAACAAATTATGTCTTCCTTTAGTGGTTTAATCGACACACTGACCCAGTTTAGAAGAAAAAAAAACTTTCTTTGAAGTTAACTGATTGAAATTGGCTCAACACCATAAAAATGTATTTTTTTGCAACGAACTATGGGTACTCGTTAGGGAAGTCAAACAAGCAGACCAATCAACATAGACGAGGCGGATTTAGGCCAGTTGGACACTTTGGGCCTCGGGCTGGAGTAATCTTCTTTCGTCTTAAAGAATAAAACTGCTTTTATTTCATTACAAGAGACGTTAGCTGTGAACCTGGAAATTGGTACTCTGAATGTAGAGCATATAATGTCACAATCTGTCTAGATATTAAAGTGAAAGACCTTTGGGATTCCCAACTCTCGGCCCAATCAATGAATTGTAACTGGATTTTATTTGTAGTGCAAGGCTCACCGAGGCCTTCTCGGATCAGACTTGCATTAATTTCTTTAAGTAAGGTTGGGGCTGTAATTGTCTTATTACTAAATAATCGAGTGTAAACGTCACGTCATCAGATTCCCAATTTTCTTTAGTGCTCCAGAACTATTCCCGGATATTCAGATTCTTAAAATTCTCAGTTTTATGATTTGAAATGAAATGAAATGGGGTTTAACGTCCCACTGTTCTGCTCCGACAGGGCAATGAAAACGGGCATAAGCCATACAATGTGCTATGAGGTGAATTTTGCCTGGGCAGTGGTACTACGGTCTACTCTTATATCGAATTCCAACTGCCAAGGGAACTTTCACGTCATTTACGTGCTTGCTAATGTATAGACGGGACCTCGTTTTTTGTTCTATCCGAACGACTAGACAGCTGTCCTTGTCAGGCCTCCTGTCCTGCACCAATGACAAGAGGAAACCACGTCAGAAAATCCCGATAAACTTTCTCGGCCAATGCAGAGATCGAACACCCGACCTCCAGACTAGCAACCCAACGTCTTACCCACTTTACGATCTGCGTTAGTCCCTAAGGTCAGATAAATGATAATTGGGTTGTGACGTTCACGTGAGCGTAATTTGTTTTTGAAAGTTAATTATAATTATAATAATGACTTTACATTGAATGGAAAGATAATTCTAAATGAATGGTTAGTTTAAAATGTTTGATAACGATCTGCAGACGCGTGTACTAATACTTCTACTTTTCTTTCACACCCTCTTCTCGGTTCCTTTACTCTGTTACTGTATGCGAACTAAAATTGCCCGTTTGCTGCAAGTGTCTTAATTATACAGTGAGTCATTCTTCATTAAGGAATTAGAACAGCGTTTAATGCAAATATTAGCCATTTTAATGAAGAGAACTAATAAAAGAAAGTTACTGCACTTAAATAACAGAGTAAATAGAACCCCCTTAATAAATGATACTTGTTTCTGGGAATAACATTTTTGTTCTCTTTCTCAACGAGAGGCAAGGTTGCTATCAACGGTATTGTATTCTATTTCACAAAATTGTTTTAGGAAAATCTGAGATATCTTTTCTTCAAAGATACGAAAATTACACGGTGAACACAAAAAGATATAAGGGGCATCATTAATACCAAAAGGTATTTTTAAAAACGACAACTGTACAAGCGCCAAACTTTGAAGTATAAAAAAAAGGTAAGTCCAAACAATTTGTTACACTCATCTTTAAATAAATTATCTATAAAAATAAAAAACGTAAGAACTGTTTTGATTTACATGAAAGATATGAGAGAGGGAGAGAGAGAGATGGGGTTTAACGTCCACTCGACACAGACTAGGCCATTTCGGGACTAACATGGTTTAATTAATTCTATTTCAATAATTCGCTTGGGCGTAGGGGTCTTTAGGAGTGGGAGGAAACATGAGGACAGGGAGAAAACCCACGAGGTTGAACAGGCAACCCTACTCCTTGTCACGTACAATCGGGGATTCGAAACCACGCCAGTTGAATCAATGACAGGCCTCATGATACAGCGCGCAAGTGCTAATCATTCGGCCATGACCCCCCCCCCCCTTAAGATATGAAAATTATATCGTGAACACATGGAATGTATCTGGGGCATTGTTAATACCAAAAGGTATTAAAAGATGATAACTATACAAACGCCAAATTTTGAAGTATAAAAAGGTAAGAACAAAACAATTGTTACAATCATCTATAAAAATCTAAAACGTAAGAATTGTTTTGATTTACATCAAAATAAAACAATTGATATGTTTGGTTCGGTATTTTTATAAAACCAGGATATATCACGAACCGAATTTTCATCATCCTAGGTCAGTGCTTAAGTGGAGACTCTACCTCTCCACCAAATTTTTAAATCTAACCCATGTTGGGCGTGGGATGTAATACAATGACAGACAGGCCTATTTGATTGTTAAAGTTAATAGGAAATCTTTAATTCTAGGAAAACCGAAAATACAAAATAACGCAAAATCTCAGCCATGTTTTGTTTGGATTATTAATTGTCTTGGCCATTTATTCTCGAATTTTCTGTGAATATGTGCGGAATGCTCACTAGTTCGCGGGTTCCTTAGTCCACCGATATCTATTATTAGGGTTAGGGTTCGGATTAGGTTTTCTGATACCCATATTTATAGCATTTCTTATAGCGACGGACAAGTGCACCCGCAGATTAGTGACCCCCTCCATCGATTTCAAAACTGGTTTAGTAACATTTTAAAGTACTTTTCGCCCGTTTTGTGCGTTTGTGCTGTCACATGACTAAAGGATTAAATTGGATATTACCTAGTTTTGTGGAGGTTATGTTCTTGTTTTGCAGGTAGAAATTTGATATTACCTAGTTTTGTGGAGGTTATGTTCTTGTTTAGCGGGTAGAATTTGTTTTTTTAAATGGACCGTTACTTGTTGATTGCACGCCTTGTATTAAACTCTCTCTGGCTTTTTATGAGTTGACTTCTAATCGTTGAGCTAATTATCTCGAAACGCCAGCAATCGATTTTCATTCCGTATTGGAAATGTTCTGCAAAATAAGAGCTAGACAAGATCGCTGCTGATACGGGAAGGTTAGACGGACTTTCACAGATTGTATCAACATAGTAGTTAAATGGTAAAAAACTGTCTGTAATTGAGTGTAATTATTGTATTTTGTGTAGACACGCCAGGCTATGGCAAGTAGATTTTGTGCGTAAAATAAAATGAAACCACTAACGTCTATTGGTAAAATGGTTTGAAAGCACAGTGTAAAGTATTTACTGTTTATTTGTAAATGTGTCTCCATAATGCCCTTTAAAAAAATTTTTAAAAAAAAAATGGCGTATAAAGTTACATACAGTATGACGTCAAACCATAACTTCAAGATGGTGTCAAAATTAAAATGACGACCTCAAGATCACGTCAAAATTAAAATGACGTAAACTAATTTTGACGTAAGTTAGATCACGTCAAAATTAAAAATGACACCAAGATCAAAATCGCGCCATATAGAAAACGCCAGGGCGGCAAAAAATAACGTAAAGGTCAGTATGGCGCAAAAATAGCAATAACGTTAGAGATAGTGTGCTAGCTCAAAATGAAATCGAGGGTACAATGATCCCAACAAGTTAAATAAAATTAAATGGCGACAGAATCGGGGCATGCGCCAATATCTCATTGACTTCGGTGAAAAGAGGGCAGGAAAAGTGTGGAAATAATTTTCAATAATGTTACACTTTGAACATTTTACGTATTTATGTGTAATGTATAGGATGCATGCGTGGGTGGACTCATCTCCTGTAAACAATATAATTGTTATTGCATTTACGTGACCATTACACCAATGTCATCTTTTATTTCCAATTCCACACGCCACCTTTTTTTTATGTCATAACATGGCTTTAAATAAATCTAGAAAATGGATTAAACGATATGATATTCGGTTAATAATAATGTTTGTAATGTAACCAGGAAGGATGAAATGACCTTACAATCAATAGCAGAGCACCAGACTAAACTACATGTTATATCATAAAGTCTGTCATTGAGTCAACTGGCGTGGTTTCGATTCCCCGGTTGTACGTGACAAGGTGTTTTCTCCGGGTCCTCCGGTTTCCTCCCACTGCTAAATACCCCTACGCGCAAGCGAATTATTGAAATAAAATTGAACCAAATGTTAGTGTATTCTGTAACCTGGAGGTCGGGTGCTCGATCCCTGCATTGGCCGAGAAAGTTCATCCAGATTTTCCGACGTGGTTCAACCTTGTCAGTGATACAGGACGGAGGGCCTGACAAGAACGGCTGTCTAGTCGTTCGGATGGGACGAAAAACCGAGGTCCCTTGTACACATTGGCGTGCACGTAATAAACCCCTTGGCAGTTGGAATTCGGTATAAGCGTAGGCCGTAGTGCCGCTGTCCGGGCAAAAGTCCCCTCATAGCACACTGTATGGCGTATGCCCGTCTTCATTAGCCCAGTTCAGAGCAGAACAGTAGGACGTTAAACCCCATTTCATTTCATTTCATTTTGTATTCTGTTAGACATGTAGTTTGTCCAAAACTAAAAAGACTCTTGGTAAATCGTTAAAAATATATATCTTTGAAACATTTTAAATTCAAAATAATGATTATTATTTTTGGAAATTCTAAAAAAATTGTATTCCTGAGCGGCACATGACCAAAGATTAAAATACAAGGTATAACATCTAAGTTTGTGTTTTTAACATACAGTATCAGACCGATGGCGGGTCAGAATAAATTGGATTTCCAGTAAATAAGGATGTGCATTCATGATTATAACGAAGGCTTTAATCTTAATCAAATGTAAGCAATTTTAGCATTTGGCCGTTTTGGCAATTGTGGAGAACGATCCCACCGCGCTGATCCTCATTTGAGAGATTTTAAATCCCTTATTGTGAAAGTTACAATCTGATTAAACACAGATCCTATTTCGTTTCGTTTTTTATAGTTCAAAATTTCGTTTTACTTGTCTTTACTACACTAGGATCTGGAAGAATTGTTATCATTGACGTGTTCTGGGCGGTGTTAGGGATTAGCCAATGAAACGGTCTGTTACGGCGAGCTTTAGGCGTGTTTTGCACGGAACTGTGGGTAATCCATTAGAAACATCAATGCTGATTGGTTAATCAAATGTCTGACGTCACAGGGTCAAAAGCCGCTCGTATGACATCTGACGCGACATAACGCTACAACATATCAGACCTTCATGTAGTGTAGGCCATCAAAAGTATAAAAAACGAAACGAAATATAGATCTGTATTTTAATCAGATTGTGAAAGGTAAAACTTAAAAAGATATTGACTAATCGTTGCTATAATCGTTTGTTTAAATCCAGCTGAATTTATATCTGGTAATTATCCCCCCTTGATATTTGGTTTTCTTAATTAAATGTTAAATAATCAATCCGTGTACATGTTAGCATCGGTTTTAAGCCTTGGCTACTTTTAGATTTTCCGAAAAATGCAAATGACACACTCGTGTTACAATAGCTTAAAGATGCATTATGGGAGATTAGATAAAGAGCTGACAGTTCCTGCTATAATAGTCCAAACATAGATAACTCAAAATGAATATATTTAAAATTTCATTCAAATTACTTTATTCTGAGCCAAGTTATCACTGTTTGTAGTTTTCACAAGATGTGTATTGGTTGTGTATTATCGTAATCACGGCACTGGTATATTCGAAGCTTAGTCCTGCTTTACCACTTTTAAATTAAATCATTAAATGGCCGAACCATTCTAATTTGGTAAAATCTCGAGTATCCGATGGCATCGAGAGTTGATTAAGGTATTGTTATGTTAATAAATGTCTAATTAATAGTTTATATACATCACAGACCCAAAGAAAGACCTGCAATGGGCAAATTTAGCTATTGAATAATGTATCTTTAAATCAAAGTATTGTACTTTATTTTAATTTCTTTGAAAAGCCTGGCGACGAGGAAGGGTTTCTGTATGCTATTTCTGGAATCCTGGATTTGTGAGAACAAGATTATACAATCGTACACCGCAGACAGGACGCATATATTTTCACTTGTATTTTGTCGACTTCTAGACAATAACCAATAATTTTCTCGATTCGGCCTTAGGCCAAAGGCGATCAGTGGGTAGAAACTTTTGACATAATTCATTTATTAACACGATTCTTTATTATTGGTATAATTAACAGTTATTTGGGTACTTTAACGGTACTTTACGTCAACTTCAGTATAACAGTTTGGATATTTCAGGAAATCGGGTAAGTTTTTTTTTTATACGTCCTTTTATTTAAAGTTCATTTTAGTAGCAGAAGAAACTGATTTTTTTAATTTCATACTTCTTGACGGCATTATACGTAGGTTTATAAATATCGTTTTTAAGTCTTTTTAATATAGTGTGCAGTCAAATATCAGAGATAGAGAGAGGGAAAGAAATGAGGTTTAACGTCCACTTGACACAAACTATGTCATTTTGGGACTAATATATTGTTCAATTTTGTTTCAATAATTTGTTTGCGCGTAGGGGTCTTTAGCAGTTGGGGGGGGGGGGGGGCGGAGAACCCGGAGAAAACCCACGAGGTTCGACAGGCGATCCTACTCCATGACAGACTTTACGATACAGACTTTACCATAGGTAAACTATCTTTTTAAATAGAAAGGGATTCTGGACGCGCTTGTAATCCAGGGCCGCGATGGTCGAGCAATGAACTCTCGACTAGGATTTCCCAGGTTCGAATCCCGGCCTGGGTCGACCAGAACCTTCGGGATATTTCAAGCTTGGGAGGCGCCAGAGGAAAGTATGCCTAGTCAATCGGAATGGTTGAAAAATTGGTATACACTTCAAGAACCCTTGGTAGTTGTAATCCGAGTATAGACGGAAACGCCGCTGTCCAGACAAAATTCTCCCCTTGCATTGCACAAATAACTGAAATGAAAATTATATGTTTTTCCCGGATTGCCCAAAGTATTATATCGACGAAACTGTAAACCCCATTTCATTTATTATAAACCAGCATTAATATCAATACGCAGTTTAGTCGAGTTAAATAAAAATCAAGCGATTACCATTACACTAGCGCATGCAAAAATTAAATACATCCTGAAACAGACAACAATAAATTGATTTATATAAAATTGACTTAAATCTTAGGTTTCTGACATATCTCGATTCAGTAGACATTTTAAGGTGGATCTTGGCAAACAAATCGTTATTCATATGAAAAATGTTGTTTTTGTTACGTTCAAATTTCATTAAAAAAATTGTAAATTCTTGATAAAAGTTGATGATCTTGTTTTCAATTACACCTTTTTGACAATAGAAAAATAAACACAAAGGAATATTTTAGAATTTTAACCGTCTGAGAAATAGATAGTCTGGTTCATTTTTTAAATTAAATGACGTCATTATTCGGGCAGTTGTTATTGGTCATGGTGTTTAAAGTCTCTCAGGGTGTGTGGATTGCCGAATGGTTAGCACGTGCGCGCTGTATCATAAGATTTGTTATTGAGTCAACTGGCTTGTTTTCGATTTCCCGGTTGTACGTGACAAGGAGTAGTGTCGCCTGTCCAACCTCGTGGGTTTTCTCCGGGTCCTCCGGTTTCCTCTCACTGCTAAAGACCCCTACCACCATGGGAATTATTGAAATAAAATTAAACCATATGTTAGTCCCGAAATTTCTCTCTCTTTCTCTCTTTAAAGTCTCTCAGTTTGTGAGACGTTGACTCGCTAACCTGGGAGTTCCAGGTTCGATCCTTGTGTAAGGGACAACGTATCGTTGTTCGGTGGGACGAAAAACCGAGGTCCCGCGTATACATTAGCTTGCGCGTAAAAGGACCCTTGGCAGTTGGAATACGATATAAGAGTAGGCCATAGCGCCGCTGTCTGGGCAAAATTTCCCACACAGCACGCAGTATGGTGTATGCCCGTCTTCATTAGTCCAGTCGGAGCAGAACAGTGGGATGTTAAAAGTCCATTTCATTTGAAGTCCGAGTGCAGAATTTCCAGGAATCACTACGAGAGCACCAATTCCTAAATAACGTGTGAATATTGACCTCTAAGCCCAGCAAGTATGGTGTCTACCAATAGGAAATGAATACTACAGATAACGAACATTCTATAGATTTTAGACCTTTATGTCCGTAGAGTATAGGACGTCGTGTACTGATTTTAAAATGTTCACAGTGTCTTCAATATTGGGATATTAGGATCACGGTATGATAACAACATAAATATTGAATGAAAGGGACCAATAATTCATGTTTCTAATTTCGAATATTATGAGTTAAAGATACATTATGGGAGATTAGATAACGAGTTGACAGTTCTCACTATAATAGTTAAAAACTAGATAATGTAAAGGCAATTTGCTGAAAATTTCAGTCAAATTGATTCACTATGAACCGAGAAATAAGCGATCGAAAGTTCCGCATAGCCTCGGACATTATTACTAAAGTCGGCACGACAAAACTCATAGTCTCGATTATCCATTTAATCGTTAAATCGAGAAGGAAAGTTATGTAACAAATCGGATCATAATCCAACAATTATCGCAGGCTAGCGTTGACATCGAGAGTTGATTATGGCCTGGATACGTTAATTAATGTCTAATTAATAGTTATATTATAACATTTCAGGCCTAAAGAAAGACCTGCAATAGGCAGATTTAGCTCTTGCATAATGTATGTTTAAGAGTTTTAGCTCCTTTAATTCATGCACCCATTGCTACCATTACTGTTTGTTTTAGGCTATATTTGTTTTATTTCTTCCGTTGGTTCACGTCTGTATTACATATTTGATATAACCCGACACAACAGATTAGAGACGTCTGAAACTGATTTACGATTAGGTTTGTCTATGGTAACGTTTGCCAGGCTTGGGGTAGAATTTTTTTCGGGGTGGCGGCGTTCCCGTCTACTGTGGTTTGAATTCCATCTGTTTGAATTCCGCTTATATACGGGTGTATATCGACATGTCGTCCAACCGAGCGGGCTTGAACAATTCCGAGCCACTTCTCGACCCACACTAGTTCAGCTCTGAACGTAGGTCTCATTTCAATCGGCCAGCTCTGAACGTAGGTCTCATTTCACTCGGCCTGTACGTTCAGGAACTCCTCTATTGAATCTTTGTCGAAACTAACATCCGCCTCAGTCAATCTTACTGGGCAACTTTTTACTGCTAAACGGTGTGACAATGATTCAATAGAAGACTTCCTGAACGTACAGTCCGAGTGAAATGAGACCTACGTTCAGAGCTGAACTAGACCCACACCAGGGTCTAAATCTATTTCTTAAGGCCAGTTCAATTTTTGTCAAGGTCGCTGAGATGTAAATAAGGTATAGAGCACGTGATTATAGGCAAGGGTTAGGGTAAGCCTTTGGGCTAGGTTCAGGTTTAATGGCTAGGATTGGGAATATCGCTGTCCCTGTTTACATCTCGTGACCTATGACGAAAATTTGAGCTGGCCTTATCATTTAGCACTAACCCTACACCCCACTCTCTCTCTCTCTCTCTATCTCTCTCTCTCTTGCCTGATAACATTATTCTCTTTTACAATTTTACTTCTAAATATGCTGCCATGATTGTTTGATTTCTTGACATTATCCGACACTGCCATGATTGTTTGATTTCTAGACATTATCCGACACATCAGATAAGAGTCGTCTGCATTTTTCAAAGAATTCATTATCATAGATTCTCTTACTAACTTAGTTTACAAAACAGAATTAGGTCAAGCAGGACAGAACAGACATTTTGACTTGAATACATGATAACATGGGAATATCTAGTTCCAATTTAACCTACCATCTTTTTTTAATGAATCGAGGCCTTCTTTTAAAAATATTTTTGGATGATAATCAAAATCTCACCCTCATAGTTCACACACAAGGCCAAAGGAAAAAAATGGCTGCGCTTGTGGTTACAAGGGGGGGTTGGATGGCCGAATGGTTAGCACGTGCGCGCTGTATCATACGGTCTGTCATTGAGTCAACTGGCGGGGTTTCGAGTCCACGGTTGTACGTGACAAGAAGTAGGGTCGCCTGTCCAACCTCGTGGGTTTTCTCCGGGTTGTCCCACTGCTAAAGATTCCTACGCGCAAGAGAATTGTTGAAATAAAATTGAACCGTGTGTTAGACTCGAAATGACCTAGTTTGTGTCGAGTGGACGTTGAACACACCCTCTCCCCCACCCTTTCTCTCTCTCTCTCTCTCGTGTGGTTAAAATTGATATGAAATCGGGTTTAACGTCCTACTTTTCTGCACCGACTGGGCTAATTATGGGGTATCCCATCCTCCACCAAATAAGGTAACCTCATCGAAAGACCGGCCCTGTTTTTATTTTGGGCAAATCACCGTAAACAAAGCTATTTGTTTTATTTGGCCTAACCAGTATTTATTTGTTGTATTTACATCAAATATACGAACACCCATTGTTAAATTTATTAAAAGTCCTTGGCACCGCGACGGACGTTTATGAACAAGTAGTTATATACACTTGATAATCTTGTTCTTGTGCCACGATCGACATGTTCGTTCTTTGATTATTGAATTTGATCACTCGGCAAACCTCGGCAGATTGCGTTACTCTACATCTAGCCTCGGTTCTATGACGGTAAGTGATATACAATTGCGATACGACACCGGTTTACTTATTAGGAAAACTTGCCGCTTTTAAAAAGTTATCAAAATTGCGTCGTTCGAAGCGTGTTTAGAATTTTTAATGCAAAGTTGTACTGGTTTAAAGAAAATCGGGTAAACATGAAAGAAAAGCAGCCCCAGACTTTGAAATATTTGTATGATAAAACATTCTTCGAAGGCGTCGTCATGGGCAACGCCGTTGGTAATCCGGGAACTTGAAAGCAGTTCCAATGGCGGACTTCGTCATACAGCAGAGGCTAGATGTAGGGTATTGGAATCAGCTGAGGTTTGCCAAGTGTGAATTTGATATGTGATATGACGTCATACCAAGATGGCTGTGGTGACGTCATGGTCGGTTACTATTTTCAGCTTGGTAAAATTGATGACATAAGAAGACTCGTTGAAGATTGGCAATATTAACCGTGGTTGAAACATTTCTTGAATTATTTTCCAGATTTTATTATTTGAAGAGAAGATGAGATTCACGGACTGTATTCTGTTTTTGTTTATATATGGTTGCGTGGCTAGTACAGATCAAGCTAATCAGTTAAATGTGGAAACAAAAGAAAAGAGATCAACTCGGGATCGTCGGGGCGACAATCCAATTTCGAGGGTAAGTTTTCCGTCATATTTCTTTGGTAAAAAAAACCAAAATCTAAAATAAACTCAGTCAAAGTTCTGATTCTGGATTTGGATATTCTAAAATTTGTTATTCCTGTCCAGATTCAAGAAATCTGATTAAAATACAGTTCTTTGTTTCGTTTCGTTATTTTTTTTATACTTTCGATGGCCTACACTACATGAAGTACTGGGAGGTCGCGTTTGACCCTATGACGTCAGACATTTATTAATCAATCAGCGTTGACGTTTCTAGGGGTTTACCCACAGTTCCGTGCAGATCATTCCATGAACACGCCATAACAGACCGTTTCATTGGCTAATTCCTCGCATCAACTAGACCGCTTGTTATATAACAACTCTTCCAGATCCTATACTAGTGTTGTGAAAACAAGTAAAACGAAATTTTGAACTATAAAAAACGAAACGAAATATGATCTGTGTTTGAATCAGATTGAGATAAAATATATCATTTTAACTTTCACTAAAACATGACCCATAAATTTGTTATTTCATAATTTGATTTTCTTAATTCTAAGACTACATTAATGTAATCATAAAACATTAATTATCATAAAAACATGATCCAAAACGCTTACCATTTGTTTGCTAAAGCGCTGAAAGGGGCCACGACCAAACGCATTAAATTTGACTATGAAATGAAATGGGGTTTAACGTCCTACTTGTCTGCACCTACCGGGTTAAAAAAAAAAGACGGGAAAACGTCATGCAGTGTGCAATGAGTGAACATTTCTTCGGATTTTGGAAGAAATGTCGCTGTACTAGAAACCCCTCCACCAATATGCCATTTCTAAAATGGCCGAGATGTTATATCACCGACACTTTCAACCGCATTTCATTTCATACGATGTATTGCATACGTAACCATGAGTGAACATTTCTTCGGATTTTGGAAGAAATGTCGCTGTACTAGAAACCCCTCCACCAATATGCCATTTCAACCGCATTTCATTTCATACGATGATCTGCATACGTAACCATAGAAAAATACCGTATGTTAGTCTCAATTTGACATAACGCTATATCGGAGACGGTCTAGCACATATGACGTCATGTGTGGATTGTGTGTTAGGTTTAGGGCTGCAGTTTTTGTCAAGGTCTCGAGATGTAACCAGTGCTAGCGCCAACACTAACCCTAGCCCTAAACATTACCCTAACCCTGACTAACAATCCGCATAAGAAGGCATTTGTGCTAGACCGTCTTCGATTTAGTGTTCTCCGTTACCATAATCAATCTGCTCTTGGTCCCTTAAGCGATATTTTTGTTTGTTGCTCTTAACGTTCCATCCATTTTTATTGTTGCTTTTTGTAGACATTTGGGAATATTGACTTGGGACACCTTCCCCGCGTACGTATACAAACTGAATTTTCTTTTTCTTAAAGATGTAAGAACTAAATGTGCCCTTTACCGGTCTGTCTTTTGGTCTCAAATGTTATATAAACTATTATTTAGTCATTTATTAACCTGTCAACCCCATAAAATGTTATATAAACTATTATTTAGACATTTATTAACCTGTCAACCCAATAAACTTTTCAATATTAGCTCGATATCCGGCCTCGCGCAGGGCCCAAGGTCCGCTTACTCATCACCTTCTTTCGTGCACGCTTTTCTTCTATCTTACATCACCCGTTACTATTATTAAACTTAATTAACATACTTAATAAGTTACCTCCCTTTAACCATTAATTGCAGTAAAACAGTCTGTGTTAATCTAATAAATGATCTTGAACTTCATAAATCATTCGTTCATTTGATACCACATATGTTGGAGTGGATCGCGGCGACGAAGCATGGTGGACGAACATACACACAACCATGCATCTTTGAATTTATTTATATAGATATTCATTTTTCATTATCTGTTGTTTGAACTATTTTGGCAAGATCAGACAACTCTTTATCTAAAACTTACATAATGCATCTGTAATCAAAATTTCTCCCAACTTCTATTTACTGTCATGTACTGCTAACTGGTCTAGCGTGAGATCGTTCCTTATTTAATTGTTCTCGAGCATGTTGAATCGCTGCGTAATTATAATCGATAGAGTTTGGGCATTGATTTGTTACGCTGTAGTCGATTGGTTGTTCACCCGACTGTTAACCAATCATAATTTGGGACGGGAGTCATCAGTAAGTCCAGCAGTGTTTAGTGGGATTAGATCTAATCAATCGAACCTCGTTGGTTTTCTCCGGGTCCGGTTACCTCTCACTGCTAAAGACCCCTACGTGCAAACGAATTATTGAAATAAAATTAAACCATGTGTTAGTCCCGAAATGACCTAGTCTGTGTGGACGTTAAACCTCTCTCTCTCTCTCTCTCATTCTCCCTCTCTCTCTCTCTCTAATCAATCGAAACACTGTGTAGAGTATGGAAATGGGTGCCCTTGATATATATATATATATATTAACCAACTAGATACTTCGAATATACCACAATCTCTAGTTTCAATAAAACACGATAAAAATACGATAAAGTCAATACGATAAAAAAGCATAGTCTCGATTATCCAACGAGCGTTGAGCAGCAAATCGGATTCCAATTCAGTAAATATCGCAGGCTAGTGATGACATCGAGAGTTGATTATGGTCTGGATAAGTTAATTAATGTCTAATTAATAGTTTATATAACATTTCAGGCCTAAAGAAAGACCTGCAATAGGCAGATTTAGCTCTTGCATAATGTATGTTTTATAATGTATGCATTATATTATACAATGTATATTATACAAACTGAAATGTTTTGCATATTAAAAAACTAGAAATGATCGGAATAGATTAAAGTAATCATAGAGAAAAAACAAGAAATAATGGACGATCCACTGCACGAGTGTTTCTGTAGAGTTTCTTTTATATATATGTCGTAATGTTTCTATCTAAATAGATATATCAATATATAAATAGATGATTAGGTAAAGGGTTGGTGCCCCATGTAGAAATAACATTTGTGTGTGGTTTGTTTGCAGTAGTAATGGTATATTCAGTGGCGTACCCAGGGTCTTGGTCGGGTCAGGTATTTCTGGTCTACTGCTTTGAAACAAAGGGGGTTTCTGTCAGGTCAAACGAAGGTTAGAAGACGCCTGACACAATTTTATTTTTTCACGAAAACACAGTTTATCAGTTTAAATATGTTTAATCTGTATTGTGGTGTATTATCCATGGCGGCCCCCGGGTGGCGCAAACTCTGGCTACGCCACTGATTATATTCATATCATAATTCATTAGTAGCTAAAGCTATATTCCCAATTGTAGTCCCAGCTATATCCGTTTATAGTCCCAGCTATATCCGTTTGTAGTCTCAGCTATATCCGTTTGTAGTCACAGGTATATCCGTTTGTAGTCACAGCTATATCTGTTTGTCGTCTCAGCTATATCCGTTTGTAGTCACGGCTATATCCGTTTGTAGTCCTGGCTATATCCGTTTGTAGTCCCAGCTATATCCGTTTGTAGTCCTAGCTATATCCGTTTGTTGTCTCAGCTATATCCGTTTGTAGTCCCAGCTATATCCGTTTGTAGTCCCAGCTATATCCGTTTGTAGTCTCAGCTATATCCGTTTGTAGTCCAAGCTATATGTGTTTGTAGTCCAAGCTATATGTGTTTGTAGTCCCAGCGCTATTCGTTTGTAGTCCCAGATATATCCGTTTGTTGTTATAGCTATATCCGTTTGTAGTCTCAGATATATCCGTTTGTAGTCCAAGCTGTATCTATTTGTAGTCTCAGCTATATCCGTTTCTAGTCCAAGCTACATTCCTTTTGTAGTCTCAACTGTATCCGTCTACATTCCCACCTACACTCCGTTTGTAGTTCTCTTATGTTTGCTTAGTAATGTCTAACTTGTCATTTATATATCATAACATAGACCCATCATTAAGAAAAGTGTCTTGGGTTTAACGTCCTACTGTTCTGCTCCGACTGGGCTAATGAGGACTGACATACGCCATAAAGTGTGCTAAGGGGAAAATTGCACCCAGACAGCGGTGCTACGGCCTACTCTTATATTGAATTCCAACTGCCAAGGGTTCTTTACGTGCATGGCATTGATTTTTCGCCCCAGCCAAACAGTTATTGACCAGTCATACTTTGGAACATAAATTTGCTTCCTTTACAGCAGTGTTAAGTGGGATTAGGTATAATCAAACGAAACACTGCGAGGAGTATGCCCGGCCCTGAGATCCAGACTACTATGGGACATGGGTTTACTGCCCCAGCCAAACAACTATACGTTGCCTCTTGTCAGCCCCCCTGTCCTGCATCATAGGTGTCTTTCAATAGATTCAGTAGCGAGAAACAAAGTACAAATATAAACTTTTTTTACATACACTAATTTTTACAGGGAGTACGAGAAGGTTTTCAGCGTATGTTTGAAAATGGTGACTTAGATGCGTTTACCCCAGCCCCTCTACGGCCTGAAGAGGTGGAATGTCAAGTCGGAGTTGAAGAGGTAAGTCAGAACAATAAAGGATTTGTCTCGCTCTTTCCAGCCAAAATTGGCGCCGCCTTGACGACATAATATATTGGCTATACGGCGTAGATTTCAGTACATCCTTTTGATTGGTTAAGAGGAAAATGGCATTGCAGGGTGTAGTGTCGACTGGTAGGTCGAGACAGTTATTTCTCTTGGGTCGCTCAAACCCCGTCCTTACTGCGCTGCAGCGACTGTACGGCGACCATAAAATGCACAAGGTCAGTCGCCTGTGAAGCAAAGGGGTTTGTTGGTATTATTTTGTGTAGACGACTTTGGAATTGTTGAGGTAAATGAAATAGATGTGCTAGTGAAGACGGGCATACGCCATGTTTATGCTATGAGTGAAATTTTGACCGGAAGGGGGCACTACGACCTACTCTTTTATCGAATTCCAACACGCCAACGTGTACACAGAAAGTCGCCGTTCCTGACAAGGGGAAACCACGACTGAAAGTCTCGGCTAACACTGGGAGCGAATCCGGGACTGCTGGTTAGCGGGCCAGCGACTTGCTCATTCAGCCACCGCAAATTCCTTATTGTTGTGGAGCCACGGTGGCTAAGCGGGTAAGGCGCTGGCTCGCTAGCCTGGAGGTCGCGTGTTCGATATACGAGTAGGCCATAGTGTCGCTGCCCGGGTAAATTTCCCTTGTAGCACACTGTATGGCGTATGCCCGTCTTCATTAGCCCAGTTGGAGCAGAGCAGTTGGACTTTTCATTTCCCTATTGTTGTTGGGTGTAATGTTATAGTGGGTACCTGACAAACCAAGACTATGTTTTATCATTTTGATATTTTCAGACAATTTATCATGATGGCCGTTGTATAAGCCTCGGCAGTTCTCATCGACACGCGTGTCAGGCTGGACGACAGTTGGAACTGTACAACACTGAATGTGTCCGACAATCTGACAGCGGTAGGAGTAATGGTGGACGAAGACAAAGGGGAGGTAACCAAAGAAGACGAGGCACAGGTAGAAGAACTGGTGGTAGAAATTAAAAATAAACACACAAAATATTCGTAATTGTAAAATGTAATTTAGTGTCATTGCTGATAACTTTTGAATTAATAATATGTCTAAGCGCGAAACCGATTGATCATGGTCACCATGTTATGGGGATACGTCATTTCTCATTCAGGGGCGGATGCAGGATTTTTCTAACGGCGTGTGGAATCGAATTGAAATTAGATTCGGCTAAAAAGTAAAATTTGTTTAATGTCATATTAAAACACATAGTGCCATTGGTTTACTGGTTTATTGGTCGAGAGCGAGACAGTAAGTAATATATTGATACTGCACGAGGCGTTAGCCGAGTGTCGTTTCAATTTATTACGCAATGTCTTTAGTTCGAGACCATTAAGCAGCTTAAAAATACGTCACACGACTCCAATATTTCATCTAGTATAGATAATGTATGATTGGCAAGTTGCCCGTACATTACTGGAAGTAATGGTACGCCAACATCACAGGATGACGTCACATCTGTATAAAAGGGTTGTGCCAACCCCAGTACCCTCCACCCCAAGCACCCCCATTCTGTATCCGCACCAGTTGATTAATGTTGTTGGTCATGCTGGCTGATTCGTTTTAAAGAAGCAAAGGACTAGAATACGTTGACAGTTTGATTATTGATGAATTCAAATAGATTATTCAAAATGTAGGTTATCTCCCTTACATTTATATATTTATCATTATTATTATGAACAGTGTATCGGTTGTATATTTATGTATAATGTTGTGGTTTATATCTATTTATTTATAAACATATAATTTTTAAATCTTAAATCCGCCATTCCCGAATGCGTTGGAATTTTCAACGGGTTTTCTGATCAAATTAAAGGAAACAGTTTGAAATGAAAACTGGCTTGTATACACCACGTAGTGTGCTATAATGCAAATGTTACCCGGATATAACAATTTCCGACTGTTATTCGGATATTTAATGTACTGCCTCAGATGTACACGGAACATCGGTGATGCACCCCGTCTGAAGGACTAGGCACTTTTCCCAATCTGATTAAAACACAGATCTTATTTATAGTTCAAATTTTCGTTTTACTTGTCTTAACTACATGTACACTAGGATCTGGAAGAGTCTTTATATAACACGCGTTTTGGATGATGTAAGGGATTAGCCAATGAAACGGTCTGTTACGGCGAGTTTTAGGCGTGAGGTACACGGAACTGTGGGTAACCCACTAGAAACATCAACGCTGATTGGTTAATACTTTTTCATAAATATAATTTATTTCTATAGTTCATTGGAATGAACATTTGCGGCCAAAATTCGCCTCGAACCCGGAACAGTAAGAGTTATGGGCATATCCATAATTTTAACATGGGTCTTTTCTTGAATGTAGAGGGTTAGCATATCAAATAATTTTTAAACTTTTACATAAATATAATTTATTTCTATAGTTCGTCAGACATTGGAATACGTGTCTCCCCCAATACATATCGCAATACGAAATTTACGGTACTTATATTTTCACTTTAACATTTACTTAGTTTTTAAGTAACCCTTATGATGGTTCGTTTAAAGGGGCATTATGGAAGATTAGATAAAGAGCTGGCAGTTCTCATTATAATTGTTCGACCCTGAACCGATATATTAGCCTTTGAATTTTAGGCTTAGCCTCGATCATCATTAGTCTCGATTATCCATTTTTGGATTGAATCATCAATGAGCGTTGAGCAGCAAATCGGATTTAAATCCAGTGAAAATTCGACACATAAGATGGCATCAAGAGTTGATTATGGACTTTTCATGTTAATAAATGTCTAATTAATAGTTTATATAACATTTCAGGCCCAAAGAAAGACCTGCAATAGGCAGATTTAGCTCTTGCATAATGCATGTGTAATTTAATTGTACGAAAACACCCTTTCTATCAGACATTTTACTAATATTAATGTAAACAATAACTTACATAATTGTTTGTAAAGAAATCCATGAATATATGCAGAATTGCAGTCAGATCTATTTAACGTTTTTCACCTTAAAAATGCATTTAGCAATTTAGAAGAAAATGTATAACATTTGGAACTTAGGCTTAGGCGCTTTGGGTCTCTTATAGTCTCGGTCACCCAGAACCTCCTAGTCTTCAACGTACTGAGGGTCTGGGACCGTTGTCAATATTTGACGAAAAGTTCCATTGTCCATGCGTAACCGGGGGTTTGTTTTTTATTTGGTTGATTATCCAGTATCTTTGGTTAAAGTCAAGTAATAAATCCTATAATTTTTGAATTAATATAAACAGACATGAATCGTGACCACGAATTAGAATTAATTAAAATAAAAAATAGATATGGCCTATGAACAGAGAAATTTTACAATAAAAAAAAATTAAAAGTGTTGGATATTGAACTGGTAATGTAATCAAATGGATTTTCTGAAATGGCATGCTTAAATTAATTTCATGGTAGGGTGGCCCATGTGCTCTACAGAAATAAAGTCCACCGCTGATAGTTCGAGACTACCACTGAAGCGTACACATTCGCCGTGCCGAGACCAACTTTCTGACAATATGATACTATAAATAGCCATGGCACGTGCAATTCTCTACAAATCTATCAACTATTACAGCCGTAAAAAATTTATTGTTGACGATTTTGAATAGCAGTGAAATTAAGCTTCTTGGTTATTACAGCAGATTTAGAAATTACGTTCGTTTCATTTTTTAAATCGCTTTATCATTAACTGTACCGTTAAGAGCGGCATCTTTTGGTTTAGTACAAATAATATCTCTGAATCACTCGGATTAGACAGGAACATGATACTTGCAGTAGTTTCATTTTACTTTTACAAGGTTCTTAAAACGATTGTTGAGCTACCTAACGTGCTTATTTCTAAATTCAATTTCTTGTTCTAGCTTTCTGTTATGTTTCGTAAAAAAGTAGTCTTGATTATCCCGACCTGTCAATCAGACGTAGAATGGTCGATAGACTGGTTAAGCGAGACTAATTTCAAAACAAGGGCACGTAACCTATCTTTTACTCAAAAGTGTCTGGATGTAATGGACGACACTTGGAACCAGTTTTCAGTCTATTATTTATAGATGATTAATGGTCATAGCTTGTTAAGTACAACATGATCGTTTATTTAGTGACTATAATTGTGTGAAACTGATTTGAGGCTTGGCATATATATAAATATTGTGGCGTAATTGTCGAGATATAAGGAGATATATGGAGATATTTATTTATGGTGGGTCACCCTACATGGGCATCAACATCTTGGTTTAGGACTAGTTACCTCCCTTAGACTTTGTTTATGATAATGTGAAAGACTGGATAATTTAGCCAATGACCTACTAATATTGGTAGAATATTTTTCTGGATGATAGAGACTAGGTCTGTTAAAGAAGATTTGAACCATTCAGTACATTGTTAACCCTAAAAAATTACTAGTAATGTACATCTTAATGTTGTCATGTTGTTTTGTGTTTTACAAATAAAATAGACTATCTCGTTCTTGGTTTTGTTAGCGCTGGGTGCATGGCTTAGACACCCAGTCTCGAGAGAGACAGGGAGAGAAATGGGGTTTAACGTCCACTTGACACAAACCAGGTCATTTCGGGACTAACATGTGCTTCAAATTTATTTCAATAATTCGCCTCTCTCTCTCTCTCTCTCTCTCTCTCTCTCCCAGAGCCAAGTACGTTCTCTCAATAACCCGATTCCACAATTGGAAGAAGAAGAAGAACGTGATCACCTACCTATATGTACTTTTGTTTGTTGTGGATTTAATTACCTCAATCCATCGAATAGTGCGAAATTAAAAGAAAAATTCATGTGTGACCGGAATAAAATTGATACGTCGGTGAAGCTGGCGGACCATGTCGGTTGTCTAGTTGTTCGGATGAAACAAACCTAGGCCCAGTGTACACATTGGCGTGCACGCAAAAGAACCATTGACAGTTGGAATTCAAAATAATAGTAGGCCGTAACGCCGCTGTTCGGGCAAAATTGCCTTCACAGCACAATGTATGACATGCCCGTCTTCTTTAGTATAATCGGTGCAGAAAAGTAGGACGTTAAACCCCATTTCATTCATATGCCATGTAGTGTGTTGTGGGGATGTTTTGCCCGGACAGTGGCGTATCCCTCCACTCTTCTTCAAATTCGAACTACCAGGGGTTCTTTAACGTATATACCAATGTGTACACGTGACCTTTTATCTGAAAGAGTCCTGGGTAGAGAGCTTGGGGTCACAGTGGCTAAGTGGGTAAGACGCCGGCTCTAGCTAGCCTGAGGTCGGGTGTTTGATCCCTGTATTGACCGAGAAAGTCCATCCAGATAAACAGCTATCTAGTCGTTCGGATGGGACGAAAAACCGTGTACACATTGGCGTACATGTGAAAGATCCCTTGACAGTTGGAAGATGCCGTAGTGCCGCTGTCCGAGCAACCCCCCTCCCCCCATAGCACACTGTATGGCGTATGTCCGTCTTCATTAGCCCAGTTCGGAGCAGAACAGTAGGACGTTAAACCCCATTTCATTTCATTTCATTTTGGACATTGAGCTATCACCGTACTAACTAAGCCACCGTGTCGCCAATTAAATAAGAGAAAATAAACCAAGAAATGCTGAGTGTGTAAGAATAAATATAAGTGGAACATGTTTATTATATATATATATATATATATAGGTGGTATTTATATATCATCATATAGACATGTACACGTGTATATGTAAAGCACGTGCATGTAGTTTTCAATACACATGTTGATATAGGTCAGTATATATTCAAATCACATTTATTCCATATCAACACATTTCTCGTGAGCTCATTCTATTCTTCTGGTACTTCACTTATTTTGTGCTCGATTATTGAGGTTTTCGTGGGGTTGGATGGCCGAATGGTTAGCGCCAGGCCCGTAGCCAGCTTGTTGCATGCGCAGGGGCAGTGAAGGTTTTAGGGTGGGCACAGTCTACAGTAGGTATTTTAGAGCTATGGTCGGCAATTTTTTTCGGGGGGGGGGGCATTTTTGCTACGGGCCTGGTTAGCGTGTGCGCGTTGTATCATAAGGTCTGTCAATGAGTCAACTGGCGTGGTTTCGATTCCCCGGTTGTACGTGACAAGGAGTAGGGTCGCCTTCTACTTCGTGGGTTTTCTCCGGGTCCTCCGGTTTCCTCCCACAAAGATTGAAATAGAATTGAACCATATGTTAGGCCCGAAATGACCTCGTTTGTGTCGAGCGGACGTTAAACTCCATTTCTCTCTCTCTTGACGTCGGTCGTCTTCTGAATGGTGATGGTGATAGTCTGCCAGTTGCGTCATGAGCGAGAACATCAAAAGAATAAGGGCGATAATTCGGATAGGATACAGGAAAACGGTAAAAATTAATAAATAAAATAAACGCAGGAGAACCGCACTACAGACAAATCAAAACATACAAAATTAACATTAATTCAATCAAAATATAAATTCAAAGTTGCCTTTGAAATATCGATCGCTAGGAACCTCAAACATACGGAATTTACGACATTTCATTTTATATAGCTAAGTCTCTAACTCAGTAACATCCAACGTCTTCGACATTAAAAACACGAATTATTTGTCAATTTAAATCAACATTGATGTTCTGATCTTACCGGGATCCAATGTTGGAGACAAAATAAACATTTTACCATTGGAACACGAATCGTGTACCATAATAATTTCAGCGCTATTTGTAACAAGGGACTCGAGGAACGAGGCTAGACATATTCCACAAGGAATAAATACTATCGGTGTAGACTGGAATAACAAGACGCTAGAGATTGCCATTCGATTTCGCCGAACATAACTGATTTGAAATTGGAGTAAAAACAGAAACGATTGAATGTAAATCACTTTATATACATTCATAATACACTATTATTTGCGTTGCGACCCATTTATGTCAATTTCTAGGTCCCAAATATTAGCAATTTAGCTCCTTTAAAGAGTTGCCTTTGAAATGTCGACCCCTAGTAAAGTCAACCATAAGAGAATTTACATTAATTCAGTTAAAATACAAATTCAGAGTTGCTTTTGAAATGTCGATCGCTAGTAAACTCAACCAGACAGAATTTACATTAATTCAGTTAAAATACAAATTCAACGTTGCCTTTGAAATGTCGATCGCTAGTAAACTCAACCAGACAGAATTTACATTAATTCAGTTAAAATACAAATTCAACGTTGCCTTTGAAATGTCGATCGCTAGTAAGTAAACCCGACCATACAGTTACGTTATTTCAATTAAAATACAAATTCAACGTTGCCTTTGATATGTCGATCGGTAGTAAACTCAACCAGTTAAAATACAAATTCAGAGTTGCTTTTGAAATGTCGATCACTATTAACCTTAACTGTACAGAATTTACGTTATTTCAATTAAAATACAATTTCAGAGTTGCTAGTAAACCCAAGCATACAGAATTTACATTATTTCATTTAAAATATAAATTCAGAGTTGTCTTTGAAATGTCAATCCCTGGTAATTTTAATATAACAGGTATGAGTATATTAATTAATGCAGAGTGGTTATTTATACCGATAGACAAGTTAGTCAACATGATAACACAGTTCTTTGGCTCACTATAAAACATGTAGGTAGGATTAAAACTTGTTCACTCAGGGCTTGATTCGTCTCTTGTCAACAGGCAACACACACACACACGCTTTCGCCTAACTCGCTAAACCAACCGGTTTATACACTGTGCCGTCACGTTACACAAAATAGTGCGGGGGGTCACGAACGTCAAGAGGTCATTGTCTAGTGTGGTAGTTTCGGACGTGAGTTGAAGACGGGTATTAGTGGAATATATAACAGAATGAACTTACGGTGATGTGGGGAATAATATCAGGAAAGATTCAATGTATTTTTATTATTTATGTACTTACATTGAAACAAGCAGGTAAGATGATTATTTATTTTTATTTTTTGAGATCTTTCAAAGGTTATAGTTTCTGCTTCTGAAATCCAAGTCTATGGTCTCTCTTCAGTTAGTAACGGGATCGACGGTCGCTTGGCGAGGATGAACCATCAGCGACCTGGAGGGCTCATGTTATTGTTCGAGAAAGTTCGTCGGGACAGTTCGGCTAGGAAATGAAATGATATGGAGTTTTATGGACCGTCAGCTCCAATCGTTCAGCTAGGAGCTGAGCGCCTGATATAGGGAAAAGTGTTTAGTTGTTCCGATGAGACGTTAAAAATCGAAATAAGATCAGGCCGTAGCGCGCCTGTCGGCTCAAAAAAGGCCAAACAGCATGCTGCTTGGCGTATATCTGCCTTCATTACCTCGAAAAGTAAGAAGTTAAACCCTATTTCATTTCAAAGCTCGGGTCATGATATAAACCACAAAAAAAACCACACTCGTTAGTCTCATATTTAACCACATAACGGTATATACAACCAGTGATTTTAAAAGCTCGGGTCAAAAAAAAAACAAAAAAAACAAAACAAATTTAACCAAATAACGGTATAAACGGTCTAAAAGCTCAGGTCAAGATATAAACCACAAAAAAACACTCTCAATTTAACTAAAGAACGGTATATACAAACTGTGATTTTAAAAGCTGGGGTCAAGATATAAACCCCCCAAAAAACCCCAAAACTCGCTAGTCACAAATTTAACCAAATAACGGTATATACAACCTGTGATTTAAAAAAATAGTTTTTACAAATAAATTTTAATTGTAAGAATTATAGCAATCACATAATTTCAGGGTCGTGTTTCCTTGTCTAGAATCTTGTAAAAAAAATAAGGCGGTGGTTGACTGCACATAAAGATTGAACGTAAACAGAAGCAGCAAAAGACTAAACATGCAGTTTTATAGAGTATAGATAATGGTTTTAACATGGTATATTTATATCAGGGTTTGAAGAGAGACATTGGAATAATTAAATGTTAACGTTTTTATTTCTGTTCTACCTATTTGTGTGTCGTTTGCATTTTTCGGGAAATATTAAATTTTACACTGGTTAATCCATGCTAAAATCCATGCAATAATAACTCTGCGATAAATATAGGAGACAGATCTTCTAGAAACTACAAATAAAGCGGACAAATCTCCCAGAAACTCCGACAATAACTCCGCGACAAATAAAGCGGTCAAATCTTCTAGAAACTCCGAAATAAAGCGGTCACATCTCCTAAAAACTCCTACAATAAATAAAGCGGACAAATCTCCTAGAAACTCCGATAATAACTCCGCGACAAATAAAGGGTCTGACTTCCCAGAAACTCACCGAGTAACAGTAACTCCGCGACAAGTAAAGGGGGCAGATTTCCCAGAAGCTCATCGAGTAACAATAACCCCGCGACAAATAAAGGGGTCTGATTTCCTAGATACTCATCAAGTAACAATAACCCCGTGACAAATAGAGGGGTCTGATTTCCCAGAAACTCACCGAGTAACAAATAACTCCGCGAGAAATAAAAGGAGTTGATTTCCCAGAAACTCATCTGAGTAACTCATAACTCAGCGACAAATGAAGGGAACTGGTTTCCCAGAAACTCACCGAGTAACTAATAACTCCGCGACAAATAAAGCGGGCAGATGTCCCAGAAATTCATCTCAGTAACAATAACTAAGCAACGAATAAAGCGGGCAGATCTCTCAGAAACTCACAATAACTAAGCAACAAATAAATAGAACAAATATCCCAGAAATTGCGACAATTACTCAGCGACAACGAAAGGGGACACTTCTCCGAAAAACAGCGACAATAACTCCCCATCAAATAAAGGGGATACATCTCCCAGAAACTCTGTTGAGTAACAAATACAAACTTCACCACCAAATCGCCAGGTCTCTTTCATTAATGTGACTGAACTGTTTTAAAGTGTACCTGTACGACACAGGTAAATAAAGCATATAGGTTTTGGTATTTAGTTCAGGTAAAAATATAGGTAACATTTACACAGACCAGTCTTATATTTCAAATGTCAATTAAAGCACCAGTTTCATTGACATACATACATACATGAAATGAAATGAAATGAAATGGGGTTTAACATCCTACTGATCTGCTCCTATACTGGACTAGTCAATACGGGCATACGTCATACAGTGTGTTTTGAGGCAAATTTCGCCAGGACAATGGCGCCACGGCCTACTCTTATATCGAATACCAACTGTCAAGGGATCTTTTACGTGCACACCAATGTGTACACGGGACCTCGGGTTTTCGTCCCATCCCTACAACTATACGTTGTAGCTTGACAGACCCTCAGTCCTGCATCACCTACAAGGGAGAACCACACCGGGAACTTTCCGTTTTACAATATTAAAAGTAGGTGTGAAATGTATCCAAAGTCAGCGAATTGGTAATCCTGTCGTATCGAAACGTTTCCGAACGTATCTGCACGTACAAAAACGTGGACTCATTAGGGACATTCCTATTGTAACGAATCGCATGACAGTGGGAACCTAACATAAGAGAACAATTGCGCCCATAGCACTCTGCAAGGCATCTCTTTTAGCCTGATTGGTGCAAAATAGAAGCACGTTAAACACCATTTTGTTCCTTTAAACATACATTATGCAAGAGCTAAATCTGCTTATTGCAGGTTTCTTTAGGCCTGAAATGTTTTCTAAATTATTAATTAGACATTAATTAATTTATCCGGGACATAATCAACCCTAGATGGCATCGGATTTCCCCGATATTATATGGATTAGAACGGTTCAGTCATATTTTGATTTAATCTAAAAGTGGAGGAGCGAGACTTAGCTTCGAACAACCAGTACTGTTGTTGAAATTATTGCACACGTCTTGTCAAAACCGTCAAGGGCTAATATGTTCGCTCGCAATAGAGTAATTTGAATGAAAATTTCAAATTATTCACTTTACATCATCTACTTTCGAACTATTATAGCAAGAATGGCTAGCTCTTTATCCAAATCTTACATACTGTATCTTTAATAAAACGACTAATCAGTGGAATATCGAATATCAAATCACCATGCCTCGAGTTCACAAAACATTCTAAGACTCAAGTTAAGAATTTATTCAAAATTTTTCGCCTTATTGTAACTAAAATATAGCCCTTTATAAAACTTTTGTTGCTTTAATGTATCAAATACATCAATAAGAAACTATGTGCAAAGTTTGGTGTTTCTGAATCAAAGATGTTTCTCATAAACAGCGATTGAAAGTTGAGCAAATTCTTAACTTAAAGGAGCTAAATCACTAATATTTGGGACCTAGAAATTGACACAAATGGGTCGCAACGCATATAATAATGTAATATGAATGTATATAAACTGATTTATATTTAATCGTTTCCGTTTTTACTCTAATTCCGAATCAGTTATATTCGGCGAAATACACCAGAAGTCTCAACCGAACGGCAATCTCTAGCGTCTCGATATTGCAGTCTACACCGATAATATTTATTGGGCATGCTCTCCAGATAAGAATATGACGTCACCGTTTGACATGACTTGTGGGCTAGCCTCGTTCTTGGAGTCCCTTGTTACAAATGGCGCTGAAACGCATTATGGTACACGAATCGTGTACTAATGGTAAACTGTTTATTTTGTCTTAAATACATGTATTGGATATCAGAAGCCCATCATTTCCCGGTAAGATCACAACATCAATGTTGATTTAAATTGACAAAAAATCGTGTTTTCAATGTCGAAGATTTTGGATGATATTGAGTTAGAGACTTAGCTACTTTAAGTCTTAGAATGCTTTGTAACTTTGGGGCCTGGTGTCAAATTTCGGTATTCGTATAATATCATAAACTAAATAGGTTCAGCTATTTTATACAGTTCGACAAGATTATACCACACGCACTTCAACTTCATAAGATTTCTAAGCAATATTTCCTACACGAACAGATTTAAGCCTATTATGAATTTATTACATACAAATGATCAAATTATTACCGCAGCGATTAACAAACAATATCAGTTTAAAACCACCATTGACTACTTGATTTGGTATTCACACGACTTATTCAACCATATGGTAATGGCTTTTAGTATTCAGTTGTATTCATGAATAACTTCAGACCAGACAGTTCGTAACATTTACTTCTATTATTATACACGTGCTTGTATTTAGATCTACTTTTTTCCTCACAAAGAATAGAATCACTTACTATGCAATTATGCTTAAATGGTATACACTGAATGTCGTGTCGTCGTTCTATTTAGAGATATGAGTTATTGGCCGCTGGGATTTGTTCACTTCTAATAGAACACCCGATATCACTTATACATGAAATGGAATGGGGTTTAACGCCCTACTGTTCTGCTGCTCCGACTGGGCTAATGAAGACGTTCATACGCCATACAGTGTGCTAAGGGGGGGGGGGGGATTTTGCCCGGGTAGTGGCGGTAAGGCATACTCGTATTTCGAATTCCATTAGCTTAGGGATCTTTTACGTGCACGCTATTGTTTACACGGGCCTCGGTTTTTGTCCGATCCGAACGACTAGTCAGGCCCTACGTCCTGCATCACTGACAAGGGAAACCACGCCGGAAAATCCCGATGAACTTTCTCCTATTTTTAGAACATATTATATCACTTCTCAGAGCTAAATTACACTCCAAATATATTCTCTTTATCTGAAGCAGTAATAATAATATACCCAATTCTCTGTCACTAATATATTCCCTTTTTGGATCACGCGATAAGACTAATATATTCTCAGATTAGAACATGCGATATCGCGATATCACAAATATTCTTTTAACACTCGACATCACCAATATATTCTCCGTCTAGGACACTCGTTATCACTAATATATATTCCCTTTCTCGAACATTCGATATCGCTAATATATTCATGTTCTCGAACGGTATCATTAAAATATTCTCTTCTTAGAACACACGACATCACTCAAATATTCTCAGTCTAGAACATCTATGTCAGTAAAAAATTTTGCCTTTTCTAAACCATCCATTATCACAAAAATATTGCCTTTTTGGAACACTCGATATCTCTTATTTATTTCCTTTCCCGAACACGCAATATCACGAAAATATTCTCTCCCTATAGAAATATGATTTTATAATTGATAATCAATTGAAATCGATTTTTATTTAGAAAAATACCCCACCGAAAAATAACTTTTTAATTCGAATAGGCCCAGAATGATCTAACATATTATAAGGGTGGAATAAAAATTAAAATTTGATTCATTAAAAAAAATAAAAATTTTTTTACATGTATTTATCTTAATGAAATAATTATGTTGAGGTATATAAGAAAGGTCCAAATGTAACGGTGAATAACCTGTATTTATCCGGGGTTATTTGGGGTTATACCATAGTTATAAATAGTAACAAGGCGTATTCACTGGTATAGAAATGGACAGTGGTCAGTATTTTAACACCTTCCCCCTTTAACCCTCTGACCCTTGTCGCTTTGTTCTATGTGATTTCTCTCACGTTTTGGTACAATTATTATCATTGATTGCAGTGGTCTGATCCCTGGAAAATTATTCTCACCTTAAACGGGCGTACCATTGAGAGGTTCGTTGGTGGGTGTTAAAAAAAGTGAACTGGTTGCGATAAGGGTCAAAGTTTTAGTATATTGAGTACGTTTTCCCATCTTGAAATGCGCCCACTCCTGAATTAATAATACGTCTTGTTGCCGGCACATAATTGTTATTTTTGTTAAATTTCTAGGCTTCAATTTCTAATCGAAAATTAATATTTACTGTAAGAAACAGAAAAAAAACTATACCAAAATACGAAAGTACGTTTAGATTTGTTTAAAAAGCAGTGATTTCTGGTAATTTTTGATAAATAAATTCAGATATTCAAATAACATTTAATCTAAGAAACAAAAAAACAAAAGATCACCCTTAACCAAACTACGAAAGTGCGTTTAAAGTGAGAGAGAGAGAAATGGGGTTTAACGCCCACTCGACACAAACCAGGTCATTTCAGGACTACCACACGGCTCAACCTTATTTCAATTATCGCTTGCGCGTAGGGGTCGAATGACCCGGAGAAAACGCAGGAAGTTGGACAGGCGATCCTACTCCTTGTCACGTACAACCGGGCACTCGATAAATCATTTTACTCAAACAGATCTTGCTGTGAACCTGGGGGCACGCCATAAAATTTTAATGTCCCTAATGTCGTATCTGGTGACGTAGAATTGTTGAGAGAGCGACGAATCTGTGACGCCGTGTTCTCGTACCCAGAGAACGCCGCGTTGTAAAATATTATATGTATTTTTTAAAGTGCAGTCTCATGATTTTATAGTCGAACGGTTAAAAATAGATAAGTGAAAAACAAGATTTTAGTCAGCTGGTTTTGGCTTTCAAGTGTAAACGTCTATACGTCTACCTTTACATGTATATAAAACATTTCTATGTATATATAAATATGTTTCTCCAATGGTAGTGTCACTAAATGTACACAGTTGAGTCAGCAGATCGTTTACTGTAGCTATTTGCTAAAATGCTGGTTAAACAGATTTTTTTCGTGATACGAAATAAGGCTTCTTTCGCCGTTTACGGGCTTGATGGATTAATGAAGATGGGCATAGGCCATAGAGTGTGCTATGAAGCAAAATTTGCCAGGGCAATTTTATACTATACAACGATTTATTTCGTTTTCAAACGACTAAACACCTTTCTCTTGTCAGGCCTTCCGTCCTGCACCACTGACAAGGCCTTTCGTCCTGCACCACTGACAAGGCCTTTCGTCCTGCACCACTGACAAGGCCTTTCGTCCTGCACCACTGACAAGGCCTTTCGTCCTGCACCACTGACAAGGCCTTTCGTCCTGCACCACTGACAAGGCCTTTCGTCCTGCACCACTGACAAGGCCTTTCGTCCTGCACCACTGACAAGGCCTTTCGTCCTGTACCACTGACAAGGCCTTTCGTCCTGCACCACTGACAAGGCCTTTCGTCCTGCACCACTGACAAGGGGAAATCAGATTGGAAAATCCAGAGAAGCTACCCTAGCCAACACGAATGGTTTAACGCGTGAGCCGCGTTAGATTATAAGGTCTGCTAGTGGTGTGGTTTCGCTTCTTCGCTTGTATATGACAATAGTAGAGTCGCTTGTCTAGCTCCGTGGTTTTCCTCCCACTGCTTAAGACGCTTACGCGCAAGCGAAGTTTTGAAATAAAATTGAATCATATGTTAGTCCCGAAATGACCGAGTTTGTGGTTGTGTTGAGTTGATGTTAACTCTCTCTCTCTCTCTCTCTCTCTCTCTCTCTCTCTCTCTCTATCTCTCCCCTCTCCCCCACTCTCTCTCTCTCTCTCTCTCTCATTCTCTCACTTGCAAACTGAATAGGTGTAACTAAGTGAACAGTTCATTTGTGATAGTTAAATTGTTAAGTGAAGTCGGATTATATTTTTTTCAAACAGGTAAAATTATTAGAATATTTGAAGTATGTATCTTTGGGTGGGTGAATAAATCGTTAATACTAGCAGCTTTATAGTTGAAAGGTTCATCTTAAAGATGATAAGTTGTTGAACAACATTCTCGTCGAGTTACTCAAGTTAAAAACACTCAATCATAAAAATACATGCTAAAAATATAACATGTCTCAAGAGAGAGAGAGAGAGGGAGAGAGAGAGAGAGAGAGATGGTTTTTAATGTTCACTCAACACAAACTAGGTCATTTCGGGACTCACATATGATTTAATTTTATTTCAATAATTCGCTTGCGTGTAGGTGGTCTTTAGCAGTGGGAAGAAACCGGAGGACCAACGAGGTTGAACAGGCGACCCTACTCCTTGTCACGTACAACCGGGGAATCGAAACCACGCCAGTTGACTCAATGACATACCTTATGATCCAGCGCGCACGGGCTAACCATTCGGTCATCCAACCTCCAGTGTCTCAAAATTTGTACAAGTACAATATAAAATAAGTACAATATAAAATAAGTACAATAAGTACAATATAAAATAAGTACAATAAGTACAATATAAAATAAGTACAATATAAAATAAGTACAATATAAAATAATATAAAATAAGTACAATAAGTACAATATAAAATAAGTACAATATAAAATAAGTACAATATAAAATAAGTACAATATAAAATTAGAATTAAGAAAATACCCATGTTAAATAATATAAAAATTGATGCGATAGAGATGAATTCAACGATAGAGATGAATTCAACGATAGAGATGAATTCAACGATAGAGATGAATTCAACGATTATAGAAAGTAGTCCTATTAGTAATGAAATGACATCCACAGTATGCCTAATTCACAATTTGTTTTTTGTTTTTGGTTTCTGAAAAATTTTCAAATTCGTAAGATTCAGTAAGATTGTATATAACCCATAATATAATTTATGTTTTAATTCCATTCATATGCCGGATAGGGGGTTGATGTTTTTTTTGGTTTTGTTTTATTTTTATTTATTTTTTTTGGGGGGGGGGGGGGGGCGGGGTAACAAATCGATAATATTTTTACTTTAATTTGTCAAATTATTAGACTGTATTAATCTTATTTGTTATTTCGATTAGTCCAATTTTTTGTTTCGAAAGCTAATTTTAGCTTAAAGTTAAAAAACTAGATAATAAAAACAAAATATGTTGAACATTTCAGTCAAATTGCTTCACTCCGAAACGAGATATTAGCCATGGAATTGTAGGCTAGCCCCGAACGTCATTACTGGCGCTGGTATGATAACAAATAAAATCTCCATATTTACATTAAATTATCACAAAATGTATTCAAATCCAATAAATATTGCAGGCTATCGATGGCATCGAGAGTTGATTATGTTCTAGATAAGTTATTTAATGTCCAATTAATAATTTCAGGCCTAAAGAAAGACCTGCAATAGGCAGATTTAGCTCTTGCATAATGTATGTTTAATTTCTGACTTACCTTGTCAACAGTGAAACACAAAATTGGTTACATCCCAACATTGGCTTTTTCTATGGACGAAATCATATCATCACCCCACAAAACAAATCAATATACTAATCAAATTCAGTGAAATTGATCCTTTTTTAACCGAAATCAAAGTAGGGGTTTTATGGGTGGGTATGATTATGTTAGTGCTAAATGATAAGGCCAGCTCAATTTTTCGTCATAGGTCACGAGATGTAAACAGGGCTTGCGCTAATCCCCAACCATATCCCTAACCCTGGACTTAGCCCCAATGCTTACCCTACAATCACGTGGCCTAACCTTATTTAGATCTCAACGCCCTTGACAAAAAATGGGGTGGCCTTAACAAATAGAGAGAGAGAGAGAGAAATGCGATTTAACGTCCACTCGACACAAACTAGGTCATTTCGAGACTAACATATTGTTCAATTTTATTTTCATAATTCGCTTGCGCGTAGGGGTCTTTAGCAGTGGGAGGAAACCGGGGGACCCGGAGAAAACCCACGAGGTTGGCCTTAACAAATAGATTTAGCCAGATTGTTATGTGTTATTACCTATATCTTTCTTTTGTAATATTTATTTCAGGTGCCCAGGAATGGCCGGACGTCCTATACAGACCAGAGGTAATTATACCATTTTGTTGTCTTATTATTTAAATTTCAGATTTTTAGAACATGGAGAGCGAATGGGTGCTCAATCTGATTAAAACACAGATCCTATTTCATTTCGTTTTTATAGTTCAAAATTTCATTTTACCTTGCTTTACTACACTAGGATCTGGAAGAGTTGTTATCATTGACGTGTTCTGGATGATGTGAGGGATTAGCCAATGAAACGGTCTGTTACGGCGAGTTCTTGACCTTTTGGTGCACGGAACTGTGGATAAACCACTAAAAACGTCAACACTGATTGATTAATCAATGCCTGACGTCATTGGGTCAAAAGCCGCTCGTTTGACCCCTGACGTGAACTCCCACTATAACTGGTCAGATCTTCATGCAGTGTGTAGGCCATCGAAAGTATAAAAAAACGAAACGAAATATAGATTTGTATTTTAATCAGATTGGTAAGTGCGTCGAGGAGTGTCGGAATTTCCTTTTTCCTAAGGTTAGGTTTTCCGTCGTAGATTATCATTTGACGCATGTAATGCAGTTTTACCTCCCACTCATTGTTTATAAACAGAAGAGTAAATGAAACTACTATCCAAACACCGACATAGTGTTACCTGTCTGGGTCATCAAAAACCACAGGTACATTAATCCTACATAATTCTCAATCTATGTACGTACATCTTACCTATATAGAACTTTTAACGACATGAGTTGACATCGCTGTGTTAATTATAAACGTCTGATAAAACACAATCTGATTAAAATACAGATCTATATTTCGTTTCGTTTTTTTTTATACTTTCGATGGCCTACACTGCTTGAAGATATGACCGGTTGTAGTGGAAGGTAGCGTCATAGTTCTTACGACCGTTTTTGACCCCTTGACGTCAGACATTGATTAACCTCACGCCAAAAACTCGCCGTAACAGACGGTTTCATTGGCTCATTCCTTACATCATCCAGAACGCGGGTTATATAACAACTCGTCCAGACCCTAGTGTAGTAAAGACAAGTAAAGCGAAATTTTGGAAAATAGAAACATGGCAAGTCAGACGGCATACAACCGTACACACAGACTAGTCACAGACACATAGAATGACTCAAACTAAATAAAGAAAAATACAGCTATGAACTATCAGTAGATACCAGTTAATACTCAATTGGGATCACTTGATTTTTCGCATTTTCTTAGTGTGCCGTTCAAAATTTCGCTGGTTGAGAATCACTGCCTTATGATATGATACAATTAGTTGAATCACTGAGACAGAGTTTAGAAATTTTATTTTAACTTATTCGCTCTGTTTTTTTTTAAAAATGTACATGGTTGTACTTCATATGAAAAATGGCATAAAGAAGAGCCTACAGTGTTGGTTAGAGGCGTGATCGATGGATATTTATGTCTAATAAAACAATAGGCTGTAAAACTTCATCCATTATATTTGAAAGTATGTTGGTGCACACTTAATTCCAAAAGGCTAATACTGATATACAATATGAGCTCGCTTTTTATAATCAAAAACTGATGTAAATAGTAGATAGTTTGACTCAGGGGCGTGGTGAACCATAATTTTGCATGAGAAATAAGATCCCGCCCGGGCCAAAAAAAACAACAATATTCATATATTATGTGTGCCTCAGTGAGGCGCAAAAACTCAAAACCATGACGCAAAGCTCGTCATTGCGTCCCTCTCATTCAGCCCCTGATTTGAATTTGGATAAAATTACAGGAATCCAAAGAATCTGATATCTTCTCAACAGATATTAGATCAGGGTTGAGAAAATGTCCAGTTTAAATGTTCCCCAAGGTCGACCCGAGGTCCATATAAATAGACCAGTGAACCGTCTAATGAATAAGAAAATCCTTTTTAATAGACAGATAATCACATAAAATTAACAAAACATGTAGAGAGAGAGAGAGAGAGAGAGAGAGAAATGGGATTTAACGTCCACTCGACACAAAGTAGGTCATTCCAGGACTAACATATGGTTAAACCCAGTTGACTCAATGACAGAGAGAGGGTGAGAGAGAAAGAGAGAGAGAGAGAGAAATGGGGTTCAACGCCTACTCGACACAAACTGGGAGGAAACCGGAGGACCCAGAGAAAACTCACGAGGTTAGACAGGCGAACCGACAAACCGGGAATCGAAACCACGCCCAGTTGACTTAATGACAGACCTTATGATTAAACGCGCACGCGCTAACCCCCCCCCCCCCCCGCTTCTACTCCCCAATGCATGTAGAATAGATGTATAATCTAAACGTGGTACATTATACCTAGATAAAAAAAAATCACCGTTTTTATAATTTTTGAAAGGAGTCAAACCTATTTAATTTCTATTGGGGAGGTGTACACGATTAACACCTTTACAGATCACTTGGCAGCTAAGGAAAGGAAATATCCATATGAAAAGTTTAAAAATCATATTTTGTATTCTGTACGAACTATCACACTATATAAATGTATTGAAGTCAAGCGTAATTTAATTTTCTGCAGTGACATGTACTTCATTACGTGTGCATATCATAACATACATCTTACCTAGACTGGTATACATTGCTATTATAAGATCATATTTCTATTGTTATAGTTTTAACAAAGGGATGTCGGATCACCCTGACTTTTAAAAACGTAACGTTCAGTCACTGACCGGACAATATCTTTTTTTTTTCATGGCCTGGTGCATATTGTTTAATACCCGAATTGATTATTTAAAGATATATTATGGGAAATTAGATAAAGAGCTGGCAGTTCTTACTATACTAGTTAAAAACTAAATATTGTAAAGGGAATTTTGCTGATAATTTCAGTCAAATTGATTGATCCACTGTGAACCGAGAATTAAGCGATTGAAATTTCGGCCTAGCTTCTATCATCATTACTAAAGTCGGTACGATAAAAGTAAAACATTATCCACTTCATGGTTAGGTCAGGAATGAAAGTTGAGCAGCAAATCGGATCATAATCCAATAAATATTTAATAATTAAGATAACATTTCAAGCCTAAAGAAAGACCTGCAATAGGCAGATTTAGCTTTTGCATAATGTATGTTTAACATATAATTATGAAACGAAAAAGTACATAATCGGAATAAAAAAGGGTGGAGCTGGCTTGATAATATCGTCTACGGGGAATGTCGACTGTTGCCAGACTATCATATCTTTGTAAGTGTTAAAAGGATTGAACCAATTTTAGAACTGGTATTTCTTTTAGAGAACCATCCTTTACAGCACGAGAGCTAAGTGCATAAGACGCCAACATCGTGATTTTCCAACGTAGTTTCCCACTGTCAGTGTTGCAGGACGGAGGGCCTGACAAGGACTGCTATCTAGTCGCTCGGATGGGACGAAAACCGAGATCCTGCGAACGCATTGGCATGCACATAAAAGATCCTTTGGCAGTTGGAATTCGATATAAGAGTAGGTCGTAGCCACACTGTTCTAGTCCAGTCGGAGCAGAACAGTAGGACGTTAAACCCCCATTCATTTCATTTCTTTTACATCATTCCTTTAATGTCAACCGGCAACTTTAAAGAAGTCCTATATGAATTTTGTAAACATTTTTTTTATACGAATCAGTAAATTTAAAAGAATAACAGTGTAAGTTATATCCCTTTAAATTATATGATGCATTCAGCTTTACCAGACAAAATTGCATTTATAAAGCGCGTCATCCTTGTGCACTTTAAGAGCTACTTATGATCATGTGGTCACAATTGGAGCGTAATGAGAGGGTCAAGAACGTGGAGAGAGAGAGAGAGAAAGAGAAAGAGAGGGGGGGGGGTAACGTCCTCTCGACACTAACTAGGTTATTTCGGGACTAACGTGGTTTAATTTAAATCAATAATTTGCTTGCGCGTAGGGGTCTTTAGCAGTGGGAGGAAACACTCAATCCCCCGTCATGAACGTTGTATAAACTACCTCGTGTCATGGATTTCATAATTTCGCTGCGCTTTGGTGAAAAGCCGGAAAGAATGACCGCAGTAGAGTTTGACAGGGGTATTACAAACACAATGTTCCGGATTTAAACCCGGCCAGCGAAAAATATTTGAAATTTTTCAGTCTCGGTTGCGCTTAAGTGTTTCCAGTACCTGAACAGTTAGAATTAGAGGAAAACGCCGCTATCCAGGCTAAATTCATCTGCGTCCGGATCGCATACCTAACTTTAAAAAATGACCATGTGTTAGTCCCATAATGACCGAAATGTGTTGACGAGATTTTAAATCTCGTTCCTTTACCTTCGAAACTTTGGCCTAAACAATTTACGTTATCAGTTTCCTGTTCAGAAAAACTAAAGTAATTTAAATAACCCCTTTTTTTATATGCAGGTATAAAAAGGTGTAGAGATTTAAAGATGCAATTTAATATTTTTAAGTTATATTTTTAAAATGTATTAAAATAAAGCCCTAAAATAGATGGTATCTATAAACAGTCCTACCTTGTTAAAGAATAATCCTATTAATCCTATAATTCACTATTGCCAGTTGAGAAATTGGCAAAAATATCATTTTCAACTTCAAATTCAAACGTTTGAAGATTTTTAAGTGTGAGAAAGATAACCTTTGATCGTATAATAGTGAGTTGACAACCTATTGAGCAATAGACATAGAAATAATTATGTTTTGACTTTCTTAGAAAATATGAAATTATCGCTTTAAATGTATTTATAAGAAGAATTAATCCAGGTATCCGTAACAGGAAAATAATCTTGGCAAAGTACCAGAGAATCTGTCCACCACTATCATTGCCTATAGAACAATGGTTAGATACCCCTTTTTTCCGTGAACAAAGGTCATCCATAAAATTCGAAACTAAAAACACGAATTAGAATTGAATAGTGGTTCATGAAATGAAATGAAATGAAATGGGGTTTAACGTCCTACTGTTCTGCTCCTATACTGGGCTAATGAAGACGGGCATACGCCATACAGTGTGCTATGAGGGAAATTTTGCCCGGGCAGCGGCACTATCGTCTACTCTTATATCGAATTCCAACTGCCAAGGGATCTTTTA